ATCACCATTGATTTTGCCATCTTTTCCCTGGTTCACTTTCTCTATGATGCAAAAGTCAGAGTAGTCTGAAAAGTCTTTCAATAAGTTCCGTTTTGTTTCGTGGGATAACATAACATGGACCTGGTTCAGCCTTTCCAATAGCTAAAATGTGTTAAAATGCATAGTAATGCATTGGTCAAACAATGAAATTTGAATTTAACATCAATTTTAAACAAGTAATTAATACTATTTGATAAAATCATGTGTCTTTATCCTGATAATGGAAATTTTAAACTGAAACTGTATTGAAAATTCACATTTAATAAGGTGTATTACCTACATATAATTCTTAATCAAAATTATCATTTAACACAATGAAATTAAAATGAATGTTGATACACTCTTTTCTCATTCAACATGCAGCAACTTGCTGCAAGATACCTATAAAATACTTGTTCAAATAAAAAAAAATGTTACATGTATGGTTCCCTCTTACTACAGTAGTAATATGCAAGAAAATTGAGGAATTATTTTACTTTTAAATTTTCTTACCAATCATTTTTTCACAAAATACAGCAGTCCTTAATAAAAAACGACACCTAGAAATTAATAAAACAAATATAAACAAATGTAAACATTATGAAACACATCACATGTACATGTGTAGTGTGTAGTTAATGCAATAAAATTGGTTGGTTTAGGTAACTTTGACAAAACCAAAGTTAGACGATCCAACATGAAAACGTTAATTACATTTCTTGATAACTACTGACCAATTTTAATTTTGCTTGCCTTTACATGTACATGTATGTAATGTAGTTGAAAAACTTCAAAACATGGGGTAGAAATAAGGAATGGTGTCAGGCTGACCTGGCCCAAAGGGCCCGTACAATATATAATATACAGGTCCTTCTGTAGACCATACAGTTTCATATCCTACAATGAATGGGATAATATCCACCATTACAATTTACATTCATCATACAATTTATTCATTCACTGACAATTTACAGACGTTATTGCACTACTCATACATTATAGGCATACCATTTGTATAATATACACTTTACATTCACCGTACAGTTCATCACACAATGCAATAAAGCACTGATATTATAAACACTATTATATACTAAGACACTATACTATATCCTCATACATTATATTCATATCATACTATCAAGTATTATGCTTCTCATATCATACAATTACACTGTGTAACCAACAGTATTACAGTTATTACACCATACAGTATTTCATGCGTCATACAAGGGTATACCTGGTAGTATACAATTACACTGACATTACAGACATTATAATCATCAGTAACAAAATAGAGGTATTACCCTTCTCTAATTACTGCAGTATGCATTGTTGGTATGTATATTTATATATATATGGGCAAACAATTTCAACAGTGTGGACAAGTTTAGTTTGTCAAATTTTCGGGGCGATCTGCTCTTTTATAAAGACACAGTGAAACAAAACAGTTACATGTACAAACATCATATTACAAGAAGATAGAACTGATATACTATAATTGAAAATATAGCTATTATATAAAACCAATAGTCCCCTCGGCTAAAGACAGCCGAAGGCTATTTATTTATATATATATACATGTATATAGTTGTGGGCAGCTGATAGGTTTTAAAAGTTAACAAGCCAGGCGGACCAGCCCATTGTAAGATCAGCTGGCCCTTCATTAAACTTATATAATGTATGGTCCCAGACAGACAGGCTTGTGATTATTTCTACCCCTGAAAACAGCAAATGATAAAGCAACAATAAACGTAAGAAACAAAACTTTCAACTTTAAGGGTACATGTAACATAAAACAAATGATTTTTTTCTTCTTATACCTTATTATCTGCATGGTATCTTATGCACAATGCAGATATAATGCGTTGAATAGCACAGGCCCTCACATTTCTACAATGTAGGATCATACCATAGATCACTGACATTGTTGACAACTTGGACTCTGCTGAAATTTTGTCACCTACAAAAATATGTTATTGTTTAATTTAACTTTATAGTATCAGGAAGACTAATTCAGCATTCAATTTAGGATTGCACATTGGGTCATTGTTCACACAAAAAAAAAGAAAAAAAAAAGAAAGTATAAAAACTAGGCTTGTCTATAGATACTTTTGCCGTTGCATCCAGGCCTTAGTGACCCATGCCATCTGTGAAGATAATTTCCTGTTTGTCATTCATAAAATTGATACTGTAAATTTATAGCTACTGTAAAAAAGAACAAAATACTCACCAAGAGTAGAACATAAACCCCTGAAGAGCTCAGGACATTTCTCATACATTTCCCTAGTAACATCCCTGGACCAGTCTCTCTTGCACAGTTCATTTGGATCTTTTACAAATAGTATACTTTTTCCAAGTTTTGCAACAGTTTGCACAGACTTGTCAATAACAGGTAATGTATCACAAACTAGCTGCTTCATAAAATCTTCGGCAGATGTTTCGGTCGGGGAATCAGGTTCACTTTGTGTACTGTATGACTTAGTATAGCCGTGGTCTGGCAAAGAGCTAAAAGCTGGACATGGAGTTGCTACAGGTGTAGGCACAGATGTGGAAGATGCATGATGAGCTGTGTCAAACGTCAATCGCTGTCGAGACTTCTTTGGTAATGTTTCATCGTCATTTAAACTCAAACATTTCAACTTTTCCACTGAACGCTTAATCTGATTGGCGTCTGACATCTTAAGGGACGATGGAGGAGTTGTTGACATTCGCTTCTGTCGCTTATGTATACTAATAAACTCATCAATGTTATTGATACATGTTTCATTTAAACTGACAGCGGCTGTGATCTTATTCATGCAACTTTCACAGACATGCATAGTCGCAATAAATTCAGTCTGGAGTTTAACTCCTGTAAAGTGTTAAATGGTATCAACATACTTTCCCTTCCGAGCTTTAAATTTAGTTAAGCAATGTAGGCGTTTGCTATCGGAAGTACATAAAAAACAATATTCCGTTTCCTCGGATAAAACACTCTTCACAGGTGTCGTCTGCTTCACGGGAGCCGCCATACTGTATCCATCCGGGAACTTGAAAGTAGTTCCAATGGCGGAATTCGTAATACAGCCGAGGTTAGATGGAGATCTGCCGAGGTGTGCCGAATGGGAGTGTTAGGAGCTCGTGTTAGAGCGTCTGAGCGGAACTGCGAAAGGGGAATTCCCACTGGGGAAAAAAGTGTCTCCCAACTTATTTGCATATAATAATACGTCTCTGACTCTGATATAGGCCAATATAGTGGCTAGAAACGGACAATGGAAGCGTGTAGTAACTTGCTAACCGGCTGAACAGTCTAACCTTAGAGGAAATGAACTTTAAGGTCACGTGCCAATCCGCAGTTAATGTTGCTGGTAGGTGGGTTAGTGAATTTGTTTCGCTAGGCCTACCACGACAAATCTGCAACTAACGTTATATATCAGGAATTTGAATTGTACAGAACATTGATTTTTTTTTAAATCAAAACACAGTAAAAGCGTTAGTGTGAACTTTTAATCATAAAATCGTGTCACCAACAAATATGCGCATACCAAAAAGTATCGATTGACAACAAGATATAGCCTAGGACATTCCAGTCGACTTATGAAACTGACAGTGCGAACAGTGCGAATATTTATTGCGAGATGAAAAATGCTTTCTTTGCTGGACGTCGTAAGTGGGTTAGATGTTTCTACATTCACCGAAGAAATATATCCAAAGGTACGATAATACAAACTTTTATCATACAATGCAATATATCGATATGTGGATCTAGCATCACCTATTTTGACGAACACTAAGTTTCAATGATAGTAGGGGATTTTTACTTTCCTTTTTTTTTAACAAAAAACAATCACTAACAATTCATTTAAATAAACTCTTGTTCCAAAACGTTTCAAAAACGTGACAAAAAGTGTCGTGGTGGAATTGATGCTGATGTGTTAACCATTTTGACGGAAATGTTAATAGTCGATACTGTCGTGATTTTGGTACACACCGTCACAATTTGTAGTTGAGAACTGCTCTCAACTCCCACAATCTTTTAGAATAAGCGGAGGAAAATCACTCACGTGTTATCAGTTGATTGTCAGGATGTAAAGAGACCGCGCCGAGATGTCACATCGATGTTGTCGGCGCGGTAAGGGGTCTAAGGGAGATAACTCTCCCAAAAATATACCGCAATACCAAGAGTCAGGTTTGTCCAGTCTATTCCAATTAACAGTGTTATATATATATAATAATAATAGTTTTATTCTGGTAAAAGACGTGCTACTTTTATCACCATTTGGAATCACAGGTAGTTTTGAATCACAGTTCTAATCATCAATTGTTTACAAATGAATGTTTACAAATGAATGAGTACAATAAAACATGAAAACAATTAATGACAGTTATATGATATAAAAGTTTTGAATTTCAAATTTCTATCAAAAGTTTAACTGATTAGCCTTTACCCAGGATGGCCCATAAAAGCTGGTAAAAACAACTTATTTCCAATGGGGTCCTTAGAGATTTATACGGTGAGATAGTCAGTTAAAACTGACCGTAATCTCAGGCTCAATCAGGCAAAATCAGAAATTTTGAGTCCGCGAATTTGGTAAGTTTTAGCAGACTAACGGCAAGATACTTTTGACAGGCGCTGCGTCGGCAAAATAATATCCGATAGAAAAAAGCCTCTGATGTTATAGGAATATCCTCAACTGTGACAGGTTTATAAGATGAAACGGTTTGTTTGATTAATTAGTGCCACCAGTTCTGTCATACATTCTGCAGAAATCTGGGGATTTGAAGCCATTGATTAAACAGGTACTAGAGCACCAGCAAATCTGTATATTTAGGCAGATTTGACTGTATCAAATATGACTATACGTTCATTGTGTATATAGGACGAATGTAAACAAACAACCTGTTACTGGCCATATTTATCTTGTGCGTGCGATAAACATTGCGGACAAAACAAGAGAGTTACTGAAATTTAACAAAAAATGTCTAATTACACAATTTTAATTGATTTGGTAAAATTCCATTGTTTCATTTTTTTCGTGTCAACAATTATTCCTTGTGTTCAATATGGTGTCAAGGCCTTGCAAAGATCAGCATCCCTGAATTCCTCGGGTGTGCTTTTAGAAGGTGTGTTTTTGGAGTATTCAGTAAGAATGATTAGTGTTTTGGTACAGAAATCTATAATTTTCCTGTTTAACCATCATGATCAGATACAACGGATAGCGGAATGCTAGTACCAAAAATTGCAACGGTGAAAATCAACAAAATCACCGGAAATCAAGTTCCATTTATTAGATGAAAATATTTTGTTTCAGTGACTCCCTTTTATTGTGCAACAATGTTTTAATGTACCCAAGGAAATTGTAACCACAATTAACTTGTTTTTTTACATTTGTCTTACACACTTTCAGTCATATATGACTATTTAGCCGAATCTGCCTATATATATGTACATGTGTATAACATATCTAATGTATATAGTGAGATTTGCCGGTTACAATTGTTACAGAATGAGTTATGCAAATTACATATGCATATATGGTGAAACTTAATTGAACTAATGATGCAGTCAGTATTACTACATGTACTATACATATCCTCCTCTACGTTAAAAATGAAAGCAATGTTCCAAATTTCATTTGTAATACTACTTTTCTTAAGAAAGATTGTAAAGTGGGTTCAGGTGTACCCAGAAGTCGGGACAACTAATCAAATAATCTCCTTGTTGTTATGCTGATATACGGTAAGATTCAAGTCACACACACTAATGTAATACATCCTTGCAGAGACGGTCATACATCCTTACATCCTTACAGAGACGGTCACACATCCTTACAGAGACGGTCATACATCCTTACAGAGACGGTCATACATCCTTACAGAGACGGTCATACATCCTTACAGAGACGTTGAACACTCATAGAACGTCGCATAAAAGGGGGACAACCCAATGTGGTTTATGGTCTTGACGTAATGTTACGGAAGGTCAGGTGCATTGAAAATGGGGTTGTTATACGAGATCCTCGAACAGCTCAAGGCTTATTGGTGCCGTCCAGACACAAGTCCTGACTGTCAGTACTGTCTATACAAATGTTAATGAAAATTAACCAAAATCAAACATACATAATGCAAATATGAACAAGAAATATGATTTGTTGATGACAAGTTCACAGTGATAGTGTTTTGCCTGGATTAAGAAGAGATATATTGGTCTCCTTACTTGAATACATTCACCCCTGAAGTTTCATAATGAACTATTCCAACCTTTGAATTTGAAGAGTTTAAATGTGTCTTCAGGGGTGAATGAGTTAATACATAATCATACAAATGTATGCAATTGATTTACATTTATATTCTTGATATAAAAATTGTCTCCGGGTTCGCTCCACCCCAAAGGACTTTATTCCTGGGTCACAACTTTGAAAAAAGTTGAGGATGGATGTTTGCGCGGGGGGGGGGGGTCTTAGTGTGGGAGGAAACCGGAGTACCCCAAGAAAACCTACGTAGTCGAGCAGGTGACCTCATACCTTTTCACTTAAGATTGGGGAATCAAACCCCAGCCTCCTTGGTGAAAGGGTAAAGGAAATATGTTATCCACTGTGCCACCCAACCACCCATCCTTATATGTTACTATAGGTATCAGGATTTACTCCAGGGTCCAGCCCAGCCCTGGTGACTTTGTCCCTTTTTACTAGGTTTGAAATAGTTGAGGCCTCACCTTATAACCATGCCCTATATAATTTACAGGGTGTGAATAGACAAACACAATTATACTGAACGAATGGGCCACCATGTCTGTTCCATTCCTAAAATAAATAGGGACCTACTACAACATGGAAAAGACGGTCAAGGTGGTCAAGATACCCATCCTATCACTATATATAAAATCGTTGAATAATAATAATAATTTGAGGTTCTTATATACCTATAGTTAATGTAGGTTGTCTCAAAGTGGTTCACAAATTATTATCCGTGGTTATAGGGCCTTTGCAATCAGCCAATATCTCTCTCAACTTCCTGGGGAGCATACAGCCGGTGCTGCCATTTTGGCGTTCAGAGCTAGCATTCAACAATTCTAGCACTGCCAAACCACATACTTATTTACAGACTGGAACAGGCGGAGTAAAGTGTCTTTCTCAAAGGTACAACACAGTGCCGTGACTTGAACCCGCAACCCTTTCGGTCACAAGCCCGGCATCCTACCACAAGACTACCGTACTTCCAACATAGGAGCATTGACATAGGTCTGACTCCATCCTTGGGATTATATTTTCAATATTACTGTTAAGGCCAAACAACCATATTGGTTTAAGATGATGATAGGCCTTAACAGGTCATGAGTGACTTGACCAACTTTCAGGGCCAAATGATCTATTTCTAAAGAACCGAAAGACCTTGAAATACGAAATTCGGCCTGTAGCTGGTTGGTAAGGCAGTGCTAGCTGCTTATTAGTTTGAAAATAGAACTAACGGTAGCTGTAAAATTAAACCTCAAGTAGACTACATTTCTGTCATTTTCAGCCTTCATAGGAATCGGACAATAAGTTCATCCACATGGCAAATAAAACAATATCGACTGACTTGCAGTCATTATTCTCATGAAATCTTTAGAACCAAGAAGTGGTTTTTAACTATTTACCTGTCTTCAGATTCAAAGTATCTGTTAATATTTTGACTTTTTTCTAGAGGCAACCGGTGATCCTGCGAGGAGTTGACATTGGTCAGTGTGTGGATAAATGGCGTTCAGTGAACTACCTAACCACCCAGGGCGGTCAGATGCCGGTCAAGATACATGTATCTGCTACACCACAGATGGATTTTATCAAAAAAAACTTCTCTTACAAGTAAATGCATTAGTTATTGACAATCTTTAGAATTAAAGTTTATGTTGACTGATAGATGTAAGATGAGCATATATTACAGTTTTGTGTCCTCAATAGTCAATACTTTCTGATCAGTCTCGTTGGTAAACGATTGGTTTAGTTTTATTTTGTTTAACATCCTATTAACAGCGAAGGTCATGCATTTAACCCTTTCACCCCTTATGTAACTTTAGTAGACTCTTCTATACATTGATCTGGATGAGACCATTATGGTCTACAGCGGTGAAAGGGTTAAGGACGTGTCTCCATGTGTTTAATGTATGTGTGTGTGCTGGAGGCAGGGTATGTTGGTGTATTTGCCTCCTTGCGATAGTGTGGATCTGATGCTGACTTTATAGAATTCTCCTGGTCACATTATATACATGACAATGGGTAAACCAGTTGTAGGTAAACAAATGGTGTAGATTGATTTACAGTGAGCTGAGATAGTTGGCATATTTTGGCATATTTTTATTTTGTTTTTAAGACATTTCTCATTGAGAATTTAAGTATATTTAAGAACTTTGTTTTCTTATTTGAATAATGTACAGAATTGTCAGCAATTTTATGAAATTTAGCCCCATACTAAGTAGACTCTAAAAACTCTTCAAATCCAAGTTCTCTGGCTGTGCTACTTTTCACATTTTCATTGTGGAAGTTTCACGCCCATGACTCTCTAACTGTCTGCTGTGTTAAGATATTGTTATGATACAAGGTAATATTGGTGAAATGATGTCTAGTTAAGAAGAAAGTTATAAACTACCCGTCACAACCGTTATAATATTTATATTTAATGTTGTATATGTTCATTTCTAATTCTATGCATGGAATTAAACTTTTTTTTTCTCTACAATTTTCAGATCCCTTCCTTTTAGTGACTTTGTGCAGCGGGCGTCAGAAGATGAGCACACTGAATTTTTTGAGACAAAAGTATCTAGTTTTAAACATTTTAATGAATTATTAAAATTATTTGAAAGCGAAGGGGTCAATTTTTCAGCAGAAATACTCATTTTGAAATTGCATTGAAATAAAAGAGAGAGAGATAACTTTTAAACTATGACATATAAAGATACTAATCATGGTTGGGTGTTTAAGGTTGGGATTTGGAGGCGGGGGATAACAAAATTAGGGAACAAAAAGAAGACATGTTGAGAAGACTGATGTATTTAAGCCCCACCCTCTACCACATGCTACCTTCCCCATCTGCGCAAGACTCGCTCATAAGTAGGGAAATTATTTTTGATCACTCCCAATATTACAAATTATGTAAGAAAGTTGTAAAAATTTGATAAGTAAGCTTGTTATTTTTTCACTTTTGATAATTGTTTCAGGAAGTTGTTTTATTTTTCCATTTTTTACAATACCAAAAAATGTCAAAGTTTCCTAGTAAAGATAGTGCATTGGTATTATATAAAAACTTGCTTATTTTTTCTGAGAAATTATTTCTATAAACGAAATCTTAATATGTCAGTGTTTCCTTGGAAACATAGTCTATATCAAGTTATATCCAATTCTGTTGTGCCCTCAGACTGAGAATTATTATCTACGAGCCCTTGGGGATGATCCGAGGAAGGACAAAGCAGACATCCACCAACAATTCCCACGCCTGGCAGACGACATCAAGTTCCCAAAGTTTTTCCCGCCAGAAAAATTATTTTCCAGTGTGTTTCGGATAGCCTCCAAGGGTACACAGCTGTGGACCCATTACGATGTAAGTACCTGTGTACTAAGGTTAATATTCAGTGAACAAATGTATGTAAAATCTGGTGTTTTGTCCTTGCTGGAAATGCTATACATGTATGTAATGTATACATTCGCTATAGATTGTATCCATCTGTCCAGTTGGTCTGCCGTTATAAAATGTATCTGAATATTGACCTCCTGTCACACACGTTATGTGTGTCTGGAGTGAGTCTTGAATCTTGCGAGATTCAAAAAGATGTGTGATGTGTGACAACTCCAACAACCCAGGTGGAGTATAAAATTGTCTGGGGTAGGTGTTGCAGTATCTGTGCTGTAGCATTCAATTGAGGTGGCACTATAAATGATACCATTGGAAGCACGGTCCCACTACAAACAGAACACAATACATCTCGAGCACACACATGTACACAGGCATACACACATAGGGAGATATTAGCCAGGTGGCATAGGACTAGTAGTTAGCGCCTGATAAGACAGCCCCTGCAAATTCCTCAATATTGTCTTGATTAATATACATATATGCTAATTGTATTGACTGTATAAAAATGTATATATATGTATGTACTGTAAAGCGCTTAAGAGTGGCTTATGTTAGCTAGATAGGGCTCTATATCAAATGTTGTATATTTATTTATTTATTTATTTATTAAGCCATTAGATGTTGGTTTGGCTGTTGAACCATTTGATTGGCTGCTGTGTGGTAAGATTAACCTTCCACCTAATTCTTTGTGAAGCTTGTTAATATCATGAAAGTTTCTACCAATGAAAGTCCTTCAGGTTTGGGGAAAGTAAGCCTGCTGTGCTCACTGCACACCATCGTTTGTTAGGCCTTGAACCCACAACCAAGTGTTAGAGGGCTATAGAATGTAGGCAGTCAGACACCATAATCACTTGGGCCACCACGGCTCCTGCATGACCGAAAGGTTGCAGGTTCAAGTCACGGCACAGCACTGTGTTGTATCTTTGAGCAAGACCCTTTACTCCGCTTGTTCCAGTCTACTCAGCTGTAATTGAGTACATGGTTGGGCAGTGCTAGAATTGTTGAATGCTAGCTGTGAGCACTGAAATGGCAGCACTGGCTGTATGCTCCCAAGGGAGTTGAGAAAGATATTGGCCCTATAACCACGGATAATAATTTGTGAACCGCTTTGAGACCACCTATAAACTAGGTTGTGATAAAGCAGTATATAATATATAAAAGTATTATTATCGTTACATTTTATACCCTTTTCACTTCTCTACAGTTTCTGTTTTATTATTGATTTGATGATTTCTATTTCAGCTCACCTGGCCCGAAGGGCCAAGTGAGCTTATGCCGTGGTGCGTAGTCCGTCGTCCGTCCGTCAGGCGTCAATATTTTACTTTAAACGACTTCTTCTTAATAACCAAAAGGCCTAGGGTGATGATATTTGGCTAGTAGCATGCTGGAATGAAGGGCTACCAAATTTGTTCAAATGAATGACCTTGACCCACTTTCAAGGTCACAGGGGTCAGATGTCTTAAAATCTTCGAACAACTTCTTCTCAATAGGCGAAAAGCCCAGGGTCCTGATATTAAGCCTGTAGCATACTGGGATGAAGTGCTAATAGGTTTGTTCAAATGAATGACCTTGACCCACTTTCAAGGTCACAGGGGTCAAATGTCTTAAAATCCTCTAACAATTTCTTCTCAATAACCGAAAAGCCCAGGGTACTGATATTAAGCCTGTAGCATACTGGGATGAAGTGCTAATAGGTTTGTTCAAATGAATGACCTTGACCCACTTTCAAGGTCACAGGGGTCAAATGTCTTAAAATCTTCCAACAACTTCTCCTCAATATCCAAAAGGCCCAGGCTACTGATATTGGGCCTGTAGCATTGCTGGGATAAATGGGCTACCAGGTTTGTTCAAATGAATGACCTTGACCCACTTTCAAGGTCACAGGGATCAAATGTCTTAAAATCTTCAAACAACTTCTTCTCAATTACCGAAAGGCCCATGGTACTGATATTATGTCTTTAGCTTGCTGGGATGAAGGGCTACCAAGTTTGTTCAAATGAATGACCTTGACCCACTTTCAAGGTCACAGGGGTCACATGGTCAAATGTAAAATCTTCAAACCACTTCTCCTAAATAACCAAAAGGCCAAGGGTACTGATACTTGGCCGGCCTGTAGCATGCTGGGATGAAGGACTACCAAGGTTGTTAAAATGAATGACATTCAAAGTCACAGGTGTGATGTTTAAATCATTTAATAGGTTCTTATGAATCATAATTGAGCGATGCAGGCCCATTGGGCCTCTTGTTTTATCTTCACTCCCAGGTGATGGACAATCTGCTGATGCAGGTTGTAGGACGGAAACGTGTGATCCTGTTCAGTCCGGCAGAGGTTGACAAGATGTACCTGAATGGTAATAACAATTAAGATAGGGACACTTTCGGGCTGGTGTTCCGTTCCTTTGATGTCTGATACAGCATTTTCCAAACCAATTACAAAGAAGAAGGAATCCTGTTTAATCAGACTTCAATCAAACAAATCTCAACCTGATTAAAGTAGTAAACTCAGCTGAGCAAAAGTACCTCCTTATAAAACATAAAACACTTCACAATAAATATAATGATGTTGTCAGTAGAACACCAAACTACTGCTTAACCCTTTCACCCCTATGTAATTTGAGTAAAGTGTTGATCTGGATGAGTCCATAATGGTTTACAGAGGTAAAAGGGTTACTGTATAATCATAAATTTTCATGGAACATTAAATTTAATTTATTTCGTGGATAACAAAAATCCACGAAATAAAATCCCCACGAAAACATAAATTTAGTATGATATAAATACATTGTAGGAGAAAATCAAAAATCGGTGAAATATAATGTCCTTGAAACAGGCTAGTATATGGAAACCACAAAATTTTACCCCCACGAAAATAAATGATTCTAGAGTATTCAACGACAGATTTAAACATCTCATTCAAAGCGACACTCCATGGTCACTTTGTACATGTGTCACTCATACTGTCAAATTTTATTTTCTAACTTAAACCTTTTTCGAGAGAGAGAAAGAATTGAAATCGACCTCAAACTTTTACAGGTGACAAGTCTGAAGTGCTGGACATAGACAATCCAGACCCAGGCAAGTTTCCAAAGTTCCTGAAGGCTCACAGACACGAAGGAATTCTTGAACCTGGTGACATCCTCTTCATTCCAGGTGAGAACAATCTATTCCAACATATTATATAGAAGAAGTGTATTATGGGTTTTACGGTGTTTTTTCTTCCCCAACTGATCCTCTACTTTTCGTTTACTGATGTAGGCTAGTGTTATAGTGATGAACTGTGATTTAATGAACTTGGACTGTGTTGGACTATAAAATTATTAGTGAATTATGGATTGTGTGTGCCAAAACGTAAGTGTTAAAGTGTAATTGTATATCATTTTAATAATAATTTTCTCACATAAACTCAGATAACAACACATTATGTATTTACTGTATTTTTTATTAATGTTTGACATAAATAAATTTGTTGATCGTCATTTGTCTTAGAGTTCCGTGTGCCAAGGGAGATAATCCAATATGGCGGTCTCCCAGAATCGTCGATCTTTTCCTGAAAAAAACTTGAAATTTTCTATACCTGTGTATTTTACGCACCCCCCACTTTGGGTATTAGAATTCTGAAAAAAAAGTGCACAAATTACATGGGTTTTTACGGTATATGCCACTGTTGATATTTCATTATTATACATATGTATATGAACCCCTTTTGTACCTGGTAATATTTTTGAAGTGTTTTTTTTTGCCCTAGAATTATTGTTCTTTATTATGATTACACTAATTACAGTTTTTGTGTATAGATCATTTAAACATATTGTGGGTTTGCAAATTAGGTAATCTTTTTAAGTTTGGTAAATAGCTAAAATTAATGTTTGCTAAAGTCAGTACATCTGAAGTTTTTTTCAAAAATTGCATTTTGAAAATTTGTATCCCATTTGTTCAAAATCAGATTAAATTAACAAGATATTAACACAAAACTTTAAAATAGCACATTTAAAAAAGGGGCGAATGCAGAGGTAAGCATAAACGTATATCAGGATTCAAAATCTGATGTCAAGACATTGGTTAATTTTCAGATATGTATCAAAATATCGTATTTCGAAAATTAGCATAAACTTCGCGTTAAGAACATCTGGCAGTGAAGAAATTGTCCTGTATTTTAAGTGTAACCCTGGTATAAAATAATAGCCGTTTCCTACCCACTCGGCTAGGGAGAATTACCTGATCCTTTTACTTCCAGTACGACATGTAAACTGTTCTTACAATTATTTTTTTCAGCCCTGTGGTTTCATAATGTGATTTACAAAGACTATGGTGTGGCGGTGAACGTGTTCTGGAAACATTTGGACGACTCCCTATATGATCATCGGGATGTGTACGGTAACAAGGATCACGTTCCTTACTCGAGAGCACAACAAATTTTAGACAGAGCTTTAAAGACTCTAGAGGAACTACCAGAAGAGTACAGGGAATTTTACGGACACCGACTCATCTCAAGAATTGAGAAAAAAGTTCTGCAGAAAGACAAACCACCATAAATAAATTATTTGATAATTGAAACTTTCTCATTTGCTGTTTCATTGAATTTGATGCAATCCATTGACTGCCCACTCGAGGTTAAATCCACAATTAGAAATACAATTGCCTGAAATGTCAAAGGAATGGCATCCTTTGGATAAGGGTATATAATGAGAATTGAGATCACAGTTATAAATTACATAACTGGTCATGCTAACAGAACATCATACTAAAAGTTAGAGGTAAACCAAACAAGAGGCCCAAAGGGCCTGTATCGCACGCCTGAATATTTAAGCATTCATAGCAAAATATTCTCATTTAATGTTATACTGTACTACAAATATTTCAGTCCCAGACTTTGCCGGCTCCATTTGTTGAAACTACCAGCCTATATGATTCTATGTTGTTGTTTTTTTGTCTTCACATGTACATATATGTAAACATATCCTCTCACAGGAGTCACATCTTTGATTTATTTTCCTTGCTTCGGATGAGTTCTGGAGTTCAGTATCTGAGAAGTGTTTTTTTTTAACCAAACATTACTTATAACTAAACGTCACATACTGTATACATTTACATCACACCACAAAGACATAAACTATTACAAGGCAATATATATATCCATATATATATTCTGATTTAATAATAATTTCTATCTACATTGCCATTTAAGTGAACTTCAATTGAACTAAGTATAAAAATTGTATAGATATATATTGTATATAAGTCAGCTATTTTTTTGATATCAGGATATGAAATGTGTATAAACATGTATACATAGTTAAATACATACAAGTAAATCCATTTAAAATAAAATTGTGTATTATAAGTAGGTGTTTTTATTGTAACACTTCTTCACTCTTTATATATGTTTTCAATTGTATTTCATGCATAAACATATATGGATATATATAGAGTCCTATAACCTATAAACAATCTGCTATACAAATGTAGGGGGAAGCTTTACTACCTAAGAAAGTAAGAAATCTTATTTTAAAATAGTTACATCTTTATGTCATATGGATAGGTTGTAATGTATTGGTGTTGTTGTTTTTTATGTAAATACATTTTCCCACTCTTCCCATATTTGAAAAAAAAAATATGTTTACATGTATTTATGTGAACAACTTTTTCGATTGTATATCTTTGTGCAATTTCTTTTTTAACAAGTTGAAGTAAACTCTGTTTTGTCTTTTTGATGCACAAAAAATAAAGTATTTTGTAAGTAAAATAAGGAAGTTGAGAGGTTGTGATGTGACAATGTTAACTGTATGTCCAAACAATATCATTTTCAAATCAAAAACTACTGTTTTATTTGTTTTTTGTTTTATCCATTCTTCTAGTTTGGTCCAAATGACCTGATCTTCATTACATTCCCAAAACATATGTTCCAAATCTTCTACATTAATTTTGCATAGGTTACACTTGTCATTATTTGTTATGCCAATCTTTTTCAAATATTTATTTACTGGTAGAATTTGATTTTGAATTTCATACTGAAACCATTGTAGTTTTGTATCTTTAGTAGTCTTAAAGGGTGGTAAATAAGTTGTATTCCAGTTCAAATATTGGAAAATAGGATTTGTTTTCCATTTGATTTCTGATGTATTGACTATGTTTTTGTGATTTTGCTCTGTAAGTGAATAATAAAAATCTCCACTGCCTTTTTACTTTTACCGGTAAATAGAATTCTATGCTTTTTGGTTCTTCTTTAGAAGTTGTTTGACATATTTTTCCTGTGACCTTGTAAGTAGGTCAAGGTCATTTTCCTTCTCAAACTTTGTTGGCTCTATCCCAAGAAGCTACCAGCCGAATCTTATGAATCCATTCCTTTTGATTCTTCAGAACAAATCATTTGGATTGGAATGTTGTTGACCTCTGTGACCTTTAAAGTAGGTTGAGGTCATTTTCATTTGCATACTTTGATGAGCTCTATCCCAAGAAGGCACTAGCCAAACATTATGATTCTATACCTTTCCATTATCCAGAAGTCGTTTGATGTTTTTGACATATTTGACCTCTGTGACTCTGAAAGTAGGTCGTCAAGGTCATTTTCATTCTCAAATTTGTTTGGGATCTTTCCCAGGAAGCCACCAGCCAAATATGAAGATTCTATAACTTTCAGGTCTTCAGAAGAAGTTGTTTAAAGTGTTTGACACATTGACCCCTGTGACCTTGAAAGTAGGTCAAGGTCATTTTCGGTTTAAACTTTGTAGGGCTCCTTCCAACGAAGCTTTCAGCCAAATACCATGACTCTAGGCCTGTCCGTTATTCAGAAGAAGTTGTTTGAAGGAAAAGTTGGCGGACGACGACGGATGCCGCACCATGACATAAAAGTCATATAAGTAAATATATTCACAGGAAATGGACTATGAGTTGGAATTACATTTAAAAATCCAACATACCGATACCCAAGTTGAGATTACAGTTAGAAATACTATAAATTGAGAACATCATCATTTGAGTCAAGATAACAGTTAGAAATATAATACTAGATTAGTGATAATTTATAAGTAAGTTTATTTGCTGATACAGGATCGATAAAGCTCCTCTACGCCGGACTCAAAATCATAACGCTGATTTTTTTAACAATAGATGAATGTGACGCTACTTGGATCATTAACGTATCTATGATCTATAATTATAAAGGAGTTTCTGGTTCTCCCAATACTTATTCAGTCTATTTTTTAAATTGTTTACAGTCGGTGCTGAAACCACAGTTTCCTTAATACTTCTGAGTCAAGACCAAAGTAAGACATCCAACAGAAAATCACACTTTGAAGCTTTCGTCCTTCTTCAGCAGATGTACTCCCTATTAACTCATTCACCCCTGAAGACACATTTGAACTCTTCCAATTCAAAGGTCAGAATAGTTCATTATGAAACTTCAGGGGTGAATGAGTTAATTAACACCACCTAATGTAGAGCTGTGTGGTATTGGCAGTCTGTCCCAAGAGAGCCACAGATTATTGCACAACTTGTCTATGTTTTGTATGTTCAGGGACAGTTTGTTGATTGATGCATGTAAATAGACTCCTTCACACCATATTCAAACAGGGAAGCTAGGCTCTCTATCCTCAACATGTGGAGGCGCTGTGTTGTTGGTCTCTGGTACGAATGTGTTGAGAGAGATCTGACATACTAAAGCTTAATCTCTTCTCAGAAATTAAGCCCCTAGTTAGGGCCCCGTATCGGAGATACGGGTGCCCTATAGTAATCCCTCTGTCTGTCTGTCTGTCTGTCTGTCTGTCTGTCTGTCTGTCCGTCCGTCCGTCCACAAATTCTGTTCCTGGCTGATAATTTTAATATTTATTGACCGATGTACATGAAACTTGGTCAAGATGTTCAGTTCACAAAAATACACATTGAGGTAAATAATCAAGGTCAAAGGTCAAGGTCATTAGGTTCAAAGGTCAAGGTAAAATTTTACATCTTTTCACTGATGAACATTTCGCTATGACATTATGAAGCAAAGTTGTTCGTTATTAAACAAAGAGACACACTGAGGTAAAAAGTTGAGGTCAAAGGTCAAGGTCATTATATTCAAAGGTCAAGGTCAAATTTGCATCTTTTCACTGATGAACATTTTGTTATGACATTATGAAGCAATGTTGTTCAGAACTTAACACAGAGTCAACTGACCTTAGGTCCAGGTTACGGGGTCCAAAGGGTCAAGGTCAAGTTTTGTATTTTTCACTTATGAACATTTTGTTATGAAATCAAGAAGCAAAGTTGGTCAGAATTAAAGAATAAGTCAACTGACCACAGTTCAGGGTCACTAGGTTAATGGTCAAGGTCATTTGGGTCCAAAGGTCTATGACAAAGTGGATCTTTGACTTTGACCCTGGCTCTTGATGTAGGAGGTATATAAGGTGAAATAAAACAAATCAAAGCTAACAAATGAGTATTGCACCGGTATTTACATTTCTGTTAGCCCAGCAAATATGGAGGTGGAAGGAAACAAGACTCACATCATAGCAACTGTAAAATGTATATTTTGCTTCCTTGCGATTCTTTTTGAAGTCCAAATGTCAAACGTCAAGCTCAGCTATATGGGCAGATTGCTTCTTGATGATTTTGGGGGGTATATTGCCACAAGACGGGGCCCTTACTGACCTGTCAGTGTTCTTAAGTTACCTTTCTGTTTCACTGTTGTAGTCCTGCGACACTAGCTCTCACCATTGCCCAGATATTGGATGCAAAGTGTATGTGACCACTCATGTCTTTTATCTGTTGTGTTCTTGGGATGAAATAGCACTTGTTTTATGATCCAACAGGTTTAACCAAACATCAGGTACATTTGCCTCTTGTTCCTTTCTCGATAGAATATTTTTCCCTTTGCTTTCTGGTACCGAGTCGAAACTCTTCGACTTCAGTTACCGCCCAAGGGGTAGGTATACAATGTACTTATGGATCCTGTACCACTGCCAAAAAATGCATTTATTATTAGTGTTGGAAACTGTTTTTCAGGCATAAATGTAGTTTTTAGGTCACCTGAGCTTTTAGCGTTAAGCGTTAAGGCCCATGGGCCTCTTGTTATATTAATCATTTCTGGTTTTTATATTAATCATTTCTGAAAAGAAAACCATACCTTATGGGACTTTCATGAGAAATAATAAAGATTTACAGTAAAATTGATTTGAAACTAAAGCTATTATTCAATAAACACAAAGTCCAGACATTTTTTTTAATAACTTTAATTTATGTACAAAGTTATGACAGATGATGGTTTAATGTGTTTTTTTTTACTGTAACACAATTTTCTCTCGGCTACAACAAATACTGTTTAGACACCTGCACATCGCCACAACACACCGACCCTACTATAGTTGTATGGGGTATAACATCAGATGATTTCAATTTAACTCTTCTGAACTTGTTCAAGGCACTTTCACGAGCCATTCTATTTGTAGCAATCTAAACAATATCAAATGTTATAGTAGCTCCTCAAATTACTTTTGTGTCAGTGGTTTATAGAGAAGCTGATGAGTAAATGGATACTAGGAAATGTTTTGAAAACCTTGCTGTAAAATTTAAACTCTACAGTCGAGCTTTGTTAACACAGCCACCAGTGTTTTGGGGAAAATGTTTCGCTATATTCATCGTTTCCCCAGCCCCGTCACAATCCAGTGATTTAAGATGGGAAGATGGATGGCTTGATAAAAGCAATACAACTGTACAGTTTCAACTCATTTCACCCCTGAAATTTCATAATGAACTATTCCAACCTTTGAATTGGAAGGGCTCAAATGTACGTGTCTTCAGGGGTGAATGAGTCAACATAGACACATGATGGGGATGAAGTAGCATTATGCTTGATTACATGGTATAGCAATACTGACTCTGATTTTAAGAAAAATAATTAAAGTAATATACAAATTATAAAACAGACACACAAACAATGGACTTTTCAAACCTCTTTTAAAATCAATGCCTACTGATTTGAAGTGTCGAAAGAAAAGTATCATATATTAGTCAATTTCAGCTTGTATATTTGTGTTATTTCAAATTCATGGCAATGAATGTTCATTAATTGTAGTTCAAAGGAGAATAATTTATACAACAAAGGTAAAATATTTTGTTGTATGTTTTATAAAGGATCCAAGAAACAATTTTTTCTAAGTTTTAGCAAACAAATGAAAATCTTCCTATATTTCTGAACCAGAAATACACAGTATATGTACTAAAGATTGATTCTCACGGTTTTAAAAATTGCTTTAAAATGGCATAAAAGTCTACCGAAAACATATGCAAGGGTATTTTCATTCTTCAATATCATAAAAATATTAATTCAATCCTTGAATTATGTTGCCGATACAAAAATAATTGGGAACTTTTGACAGCAACTAAATGCATTTGTTAATAGTTTTTGAGAGTATAGTTCTGATGAAATTTGTACTGTTTTAAGAGTTGTTATTAACAGGCCAGGGGACAATAATTTTTGTAATTATTACCCATAATGGCAACAAATAGAGAATGAAACACCCAGTAAAATCGTATCGTATTTACAGGTATAAATTTGTGAAAGAGCTCTTAACGTGATAGTTCGGCTAATAATTTTGTCATTGCCGACAGCAGAGAAAACTATCGCTGAGCAACACCTAAGCGACACTTGTAGATCTTTGTGACGAGGAATGATCTAGGTCATTTTAAAGCTGTATAAACAAAAACAACAATTATACATAGGTATACTCATTACTTTCATACCAGTCTATAAGACCCAGTGTATACCGTAAGCATGGTTAATTATATATACTCCTACAGGTCTCTGTACACCAGACACAAACACCGGATTCTATTTATAGCTGAAACATGTCATTCATGTGTCATTATGCGTTAAAGCATATAATTAAGTATAAATAGGGGGAAAAAAGGATTTATTGGAATTTTTGATAACCATATGATCTAAAGTATATTTTTACCGAGTTCCTAATTTTTTGAAAATGATTTTATATGTGATTTTCAAAGACCATATTAAAAATAAAAATAAAAACTTATAGATCTCTTCAAAAACAAAATGTAATCATGCATATTAAATTTGATTTGATTTTTTCAAATTATAAAAACCCTTGAAAAACTTTTACTTGATTCCACACAAGTCTCAAGGAAATAAGATGGCACATATTGCTATGCAAGCAAAAGCAATATTTAAAAAGGAGCACGCATATTTTGATATTGATTTTATCGTAATTAAGTAAATGTGTTTAAACTTTGTATCTTCAAAGATGCCGATTAACATATACAACTAGGATGGTAAAAACATGATGTTGACCGGTATCTTCAAAGATGCAGGTTACAATTTACAATCATGTAATCATGCAATATTCGGAAAGCGTTTCCTTTCAAAATAAAATAATCCATTAAACTAAGAGTAATTTAATTACATATTCATCAATAATGATCTTTAAGAATAATAATATATATATGCGACATGGAAACTAAGCTGGGTTCTAGACTTATGATGTTTCCGTTCCAAACATGACTTGTAGAAATTAATTTCTAGAAATCTCCGTAACAGGAAAGCTGATTCTGTTTGCTTTATGAAATACAGTCGAAGGGCAGAGCCTGGATTGACCATAAATGTTACGTGTATTTCTGTTCCAGGTTGCTTCTGTACGCTCAGTATTACAAATGCCCCATTACAAATGGTTTAAATTTCAAACAGTGAAGTATAGAACATTCTTTTGCAGCATTTTGAATGAAATATGTTTGAAATTCTTTTTTCGTAATAGGACATTTTTGGTTAAACATCTTTTAATTTCCTCTATTGTGTTTGAATAATAAATGTTGCTGAGCTGAGATATCCAGAACCCAACTTTTACATGCTAAGTATCCATTTTATGGACAGAATGATAGTTATAATAACAGCGACAGAGTTATGGAGTGTTACGAAACGTGCACATAATGATTTCATTTCTCTAGGTAACGTACAACATGTATTTTACAATGTTTACAGGGAGTTGACTTGTTCTGGTTCAGTAAAATCCGCCCAATCTGACACAAGATTCCTTGATTGCTGGAAGATAAAATATACAGCCACAATACTCGTCTATTCCTGTGGTACAAAAGAGTCCGGCCTACATGTATGTGGTCCCTTTGTTCCGGTCCAAAGGATAAATAAATAATAATGTTTTTAGCGCCATTTCAAAATGTTCCGAACCAGACTTTCAGTCACAACTTCTGCTGTTGTATCTGTCCCCTCTTCCGTCTTTGTGTAATACAGAGTTATCTTCTCTTGTGAGCAGGTATTGATTGTTCTGTCATCGGTTTGTGTGAGGAAATTTCGTCGTTTTCTCAAAAATTGATGATGTTACTTACTCTCACAAACAAATGACGTAACAATCAATACCTGCTTACAAGGGAAGATAACTCTGCAATATGAAAAGACGGCATTGAACAGAGCAGCCACTAATGATATTGTAACCGTTGTTGACTATTCCCCTGTTTATATAATCAATCCTTCGTTGTTGGCAACGCAGAGCCACGATTTACAACAATTAAAATGTTCATTGACCAATTTTTATCTTATTGCACTAAGTTTTATAAGATTAACAATCAAAATTTTGACTAAATCATCCCGGGCTGGGTTTGAGCGTCCATCTAAGTGTCGATGATAATCTAGATTTTGGCAATCTGGATTATGATTATGCAGACTTTTGATAATCACGACTACAAAGGGGTGACTAGGAATCTCCTTTTTCATTTTTTTGTGTGACTTTTCAGGCATATTACTAGAATAATCAGTCAGTTAAGGCGGGTTCCACTGTACAAGTGACATCAGTAAATATTTGACACATAACTGGCCATATCAATTCATACATTTATAAGCAAAAATGACATGCATATAGACAGCAATTAAACAATTACTTTAATAAAGAGTAAAGTTTCTTAACCCTTTCACCAGTACTGTAGACCATCATGGACTCATCCAGATGAATGTATGATAGAGTCTACTCTAGTTACCTAGGGGTGAAAGGGTTAAAGCATCAATGAAGACGTTTTAAAAGAGATCGATGATAATCTTTTGTTTAAAGGAAAAACGGTAGATATACAGTATTTGCTTGAAATCGCTATCTTAGTAAAAATTATAGGTGTTTATATGTAATGAAAAGAACAGTGTCCTGTCCTACAGTTCAACTTAATCGCAATGGGTTCAATATATATATTATCTTTTATTCCTAATAAGATTGCATACACTAGCTTAGCCCTTTCACCACTGTAGACCATAATGGACTCACCCAGACGAATGTATGGTAGAGTCTACTAAAGTTATATAGGGGTGAAAGGATAAAGAATTAGGCTCCTCCAACTTTTTCTATAAGAAAAATTCCAGAGTAAAAGAAATATTCTTAGATTAAGTATTTTTACATTAGAAAACATGTTCCGTTAATGAAATCTCAAATCCACATAAATGATTTTAATATTAATTAATAAAAAAAAAATTGACACAATTTGGCTTTTCCATATGAGACATGGCAGACCTATTATAGTAAAATATACCTATCAGCACTCTGATATGAACTTTCTGTTACAATATTGCTTATTTAACCCTTTCACCACTGTAGACTATAATGGACTCATCCATATCAATGCATGGTAGAGTCCACTTAAGTTACATAGGGGTGAAAGGGTTAAAGCAAAATGTAGACACTCGACATGAGAAATAATTCATCTAGTTCTTTAAACTCTGCTTAATCTTATGAGCAGTTTTCCACATAACTACATGTATTCCAATTTTTAAGCTAGCAACACTGCAAGATAAAAACTATTTTTTATGAGTTAATTTCACAATTTAAACACTCAATTTCCAGTGATGTCCATCCAACGGGAACAGGAAGGGCATATCTAATTCTCACTTTTTCTGAAATATTTTAATAAAAGTTTTTACAGGTAAAATTACAAAAAGGAATGGAAGAGTAAAACAACGTTATAAAACAAAATCTTCCGTTACTGAACACAAATATCAGATTATCAAACTCTTATTTCATACATTCATTTTTATTCCTTTTATAGAATTATGGATATAAACTAATGGCAAATATTTAAAAAAAAAAAAAAATGCAAAAATATTTACCATATTTTGGTTACAATGCATGCTTGTCATTTTTCAGAGGAAAATAAATGTGATACTATTGTAAGCAAAAAGTGATATAAAACATTCAAAAATGAAAGCAGATTTTACATCAACATTATGATTTAATACAGGTGGACATAACACTATGTAATTAGTGAAAGAAAACAAACAACATTATATATTATGCTGTATAATACTTGTATGCGCTGGTGATGCATACTTCAGAAAGGAGAGATCTGCTTGTTTAACCCTTTCACCACTGTAGACCATATTGGACTCATCCCAATAAATACAAGGTAGATTCCATTAAAGTTACCGAGGGTTGAAAGGTTTAAGGAGATTTAGGCTATTTCTAAAGATGACATGTCACCATTATGTTGGCGTTCTTGTTCAGAAACTCGCATAAAAATGTTCCGCGATATTGGAACTGTTTAACCAATACGAATACCATTGTCACTGATAAAAAAATAATTCAATCCACATAAAAAAAAATCATTTTATTGAAATTTTATCGGAAGATTTAACTGGGTTCAGGCTGTCACTATATGACTAGAGCAAATTTTGATTAAGTTTCAATGAAATTTCCTCAAATTTTACTCTTCAACGAAAGACTCATCTTCATCTTGAAACCTTCCTCTGTCAATATTAACGATTACAGACTATATTACAGTCATTAATTCAATCAGATCTGTCTTCAATAAAATCACTTTAATATGCTGTATGTTACAAGCAAAAAATGCTGCAAGAAATTCATCACGCAAAACCTCCCTCCCTGGAAATATGCTCCGAGGGGATTCTCACCCTGTAGACTTGTTAGAGGCCGACACCTCTAGATCTAAGTAGGGTCAGCAAAAAATACTTCATCAACGAGCAAGATGTAAAGATATAGGTAAGCGATGTTATTGTTGACAGATTTGGTGAAATAGTAATTTGAAAAATACTGAACCAATAGATACTTATGGCATATCATACTAGGTAAATAAAGTCGTGGAACATTTATGGCAAATGATAAACTTGTACAAATATAGGTGAACAACACAAATCATCTACACATATTTTTGGTTTTTTGTTGGGTACTAACATTTCATGCAGCTGACATTTAAAACAAAATTGTTTGTCTGAATGAGCAAAACAAAAATGCATTAAAAAAAGAAAGGTGATTTTTTTTTTCTTTTTTAAATAATTAAAAAAAAAGATGGAATTTTTGGTCGCATAAGTTTTTCCTCTTCAGCAAATATAAAGCTATATTAATACGAAATGCTCCAATGTAAAATGGTTTGTGCTGTTACAATATACACTACATGGACAATCAAAAGCACTCAGCAGATCAAAAGAATACTATAATGTCTAAATATGAAGTTTTTGCATAATTTTCATTGGTAATTCCATATATGGTATAACTATGACTCGTCTCAGGACAGTCACTATGGAGTGTATCCTAAATGACACACAGAATTGTTGGTGTTACTATTTTTCACAATCTCTATTAGGATTTCACCCTACTGCGTTGCATCAATTCATCCTCGTATCTTCTCTTGTGATATCACCCCTCAAATTGGCCTTGTCGAAAGGACACTTTCATCTATGCAATTAGAGGAACTTGGGAGCCAATCTCAAAAGATAACTGAAGGGGGCCGTCTCAAAAGCAAACTTCTGGCCCTCATATTATGAGGGTTGGGGAGGCACCTCTGCAGTATCATCACCGATGCCATCTGACATGGAGTTGCAGTATCAGCACCGATGCCATCTGACACGGAGTCAATGCAGAAGAGACTCTCGGATCTTCACACAAATCAAGGCACAATAAATATATTCATCTTTAAAAATATCACAGTCACAGGCTTAATTTGTCACAATTAGCAACAGTAACAGTTAGGATCCACCAGAAATTGCATCAACAGGTCATCCTGCTTGTTCCCAAATACATGTGTTCATTTATTCCAGGGCCAATCTCTCACAGACATATGCAAATTCATTTTTGCAAACATTTTGTCTAATTTGCATATATTTACATAATTACTTTTACAAATTTGCATTTCTATGCAATTTTTCTTTGACATATCAAAATTTGCATATTCATGAGTTGGAAATAACAATGGGGGGGATACACTGTAACTTTTAACTAAACCGTGAGAAAACTCCACCATTCCGGTCTAGTATTAAGGTATATGTTCCATGTTCCCTCCAGCTAGGTAGGAATAAAAAGCTGAACAGATGATTTGCGTGCGAAGCATCCTTACTTCCTCCTCCTCTTCCTCATTCTTTCGCTTGTATTTTGGATACAAAGTACAACAAACTCGTTGTTACAAGAAAATTTGTTTGTTTCCACCATCTTGCCTTCCAGCAAGTTAGATGCCAAGCCTTCGGACATCCTGAATCCCGAATGCCAGCCTTGACAAGTCAACTTGCTACTCATTCGACCTTGACGATCGGATCCATGCCAAACGTATTTCTGTTTCCTGTTGAAAAAAATCAATCGAAAAAAGATATCAAACGAATGTTCTCAAAATAGGTATACACAAATCCTATATTTAAATAGGAATATTGAATTTTTCATCTATGGTATCAGAGTTTTACTTTATACACAAACGATGTACGTATGAAATGTGTCGCAATGTTTCAAGACTGACTGGTCTCTTTGTCAAGCTATGACTCTAGAAACATTGCGACACGTTTAATACGTACATTGTTTGTGTATAAAGTAAAAATTTGATATCAAATGTTTCCAAATTGATGAATATTTCTGAAGATACTTTCATCTACAATTTTTCCTTCGTTAAATTGAAAACTTGTTATTCCATATATTTTAAATCTTTCATTTTTAACAAATAACAATCCTTACAAATTGCTTATAATATTTTGTCATTTATTTTCATTGTTTTCTTATGTTTCAAATGTTGACTGCACAACCTGGAAATGTTTTGTAATCAGAAACACAATTTTAGGTTCATACCATCGACTACTGGTCCGAACATTGTGACCGTCAAACGAGTAGATAGGAGTCGAAGTGTTGAAGGTTCCACCATTGCCATTTAACATTTGTTCCCATGAATCAAACAGTATTTCGTCCTGGAAGAGTATAAAATAATATGAGAGTTGTATTCTTTTCTTTTGTGAAAACATGTACCAACATAATTTTTGTGATAAAACTACTAAAACATTGCAAGGAATAATTATTAACTAATTGCTTATAAAATAAAAGGAAATCTGTATAAGTAACTTTTACAAGTAATATTTCGAATAAAATAATTATTTACGGTAGGTACTAGATGTAATTTCCGATGCTTTACTGACCTTATAAATATAACTACCTATCTATAACCCCATTTTTTCACTAACCAATACAATCTAACCTGTGATTTGTGTTAGAGCTATCTCCCATACAAACTAACCTGTGATTTGTGTTAGAGCTATCTCCCTTACAAACTAACCTGTGATTTGTGTTAGAGCTATCTCCCATACAAGCTAACCTGTGATTTGTGTAAGAGCTATCTCCAATACAAGCTAACCTGTGATTTGTGTTAGAGCTATCTCCAATACAAATTAACCTGTGATTTGTGTTAGAGCTATCTCCCTTACAAGCTAACCTGTGATTTGTTTTAGAGCTATCTCCCTTACAAGCTATACTGTGATTTGTGTAAGAGCTATCTCCCATACAAACTAACCTGTGATTTATGTTAGAGCTATCTCCCATACAATCTAACCAGTGATTTGTGTTAGAGCTATCTCCCTTACAAGCTATCCTGTGATTTGTGTAAGAGCTATATCCCATACAAGCTAACCTGTGATTTGTTTTAGAGCTATCTCCCTTACAAGCTATACTGTGATTTGTGTAAGAGCTATCTCCAATACAGCTACCCTGTGATTTGTGTTAGAGCTATCTCCAATACAAGCTAACCTGTGATTTGTGTTAGAGCTATCTCCCTTACAAGCTATCCTGTGATTTGTGTAAGAGCTATCTCCCATACAAGCTAACCTGTGATTTGTGTTAGAGCTATCTCCGATACAAGCTAACCTGTGATTTGTGTAAGAGCTATCTCCAATACAGCTAACCTGTGATTTGTGTTAGAGCTATCTACCTTACAAGCTAACCTGTGATTTGTGTTAGAGCTATCTCCCATACAAGCTAACCTGTGATTTATGTTAGAGCTATCTCCCATACAAGCTAACCTGTGATTTATGTTAGAGCTATCTCCCATACAAGCTAACCTGTGATTTATGTTAGAGCTATCTCCCATACAAGCTAACCTGTGATTTATGTTAGAGCTATCTCCCATACAAGCTAACCTGTGATTTATGTTAGAGCTATCTCCCATACAAACTAACCTGTGATTTATGTTAGAGCTATCTCCCATACAAGCTAACCTGTGATTTATGTTAGAGCTATCTCCCATACAAGCTAACATGTGATTTATGTTAGAGCTATCTCCCATACAAACTAACCTGTGATTTATGTTAGAGCTATCTCCCATACAAACTAACCTGTGATTTATGTTAGAGCTATCTCCCATACAAGCTAACATGTGATTTGTGTTAGAGCTATTTCCCTTACAAACTAACCAGTGATTTGTGTTAGAGTTATCTCCCCTACAAACTAACCTATGGTAGCAGTGTACAGTAGCGTACAATGGCCATGGGTCATATTTTTATACAATTAATAACCCCTGTAAAATAACATGTATCAAATTTTAAAAAAAAAATGCACTAAAATTTGCATATACATGTGGACTTTGTGGGCTTCGTAATTTAAAAAAAAAAAATCCAATTTGGTTCTAGACTACAGTTTTGGGCATTTACAAATCTGTGTCTACACAACAAAAGCTAGGTTTTCATGTAGTCTATTTTTGTACACAGCACATGTGTAAATATTGTGAAAAATCTACCGGAATGACCTATGCTAAAACGTGAGCTACCGGAATGACCTATGCTAAAACGTGAGTATTGCTGTTACCGAGCAGGCGAAATTTTATTTCAGACAAGTTTTAAGAAAACTACTTGCGGGAGTCAAATTTTTGGTTAAAAATCATGATTTTTTGCATATTTTGGTGTTTTTTGATGTGGTTACCATGGTTTTCACAAGTCCCAAATCTGGGGAAAACAGTTTTTGAAAAGAAATTCAGTCTTCTAAACAAAATGAAATCAAAATGCAGTTTATAAATATGTATATATATGTAGGTGTGTTGTGCAGGTTGAATTCACTATCCAAGTTTATGTGAGGAATGCCCTTTATTTTTAGGGTCAAGCCATTTCTACTGTACACTGCTACCTGTGATTTGTGTTTGAGTTATCTCCCTTACAAACTAACCTATGATTTGTGATAGAGTTATCGCCCTTACAAAACTAACCTGTGATTTGTGTTAGAGTTATCTCCCTTACAAACTAACTGGTGATTTGTGTTAGTTATCTCCCTTACAAGCTAACCTGTGATTTGTGTCAGAGTAATCTCCCTTGCAAACTAATCGATGATTTGTGTTAGAGTTATCTCCCTAACAAACTAACCGGTGATTTGTGTTAGTTATCTCCCTTACAAGCTAACCTGTGATTTGTGTTGGAGTTATCTCCCCTGTATAACATTCAAGTTACAGATAGTGGATTTCCTGAGCATTTCAATTCAATGTCTATGTTTTGTATACTTTTTAAATGTACCATGTGACATCAGTTAAATTGAATTAACCAAAAACACCTGTCATAAAATATTTAAAAAAAAATTGTTTTTAAAGGAGCTAGGTGATTGTGACAGTTAGGTAGCACACACCCTTAACATCAAAGATGTCACAGTAAGGAAGTATGTATTTTGGAGGTGCCTCACTTACACGCTTATTGACAATAGGTATCAATTGGTCCCTCGCTAATGGTACGATTGATCTAAAATCTTGAGTGGAGCTGGACAATAGCGCCCGGAATGTCTTCCTTCCAATGGAAATGCCAGCTTCTCTGGACTCTTTGTAACATTCGTAGTCAGCCCCACGGATTCCTCGAATGTTTCCAGCATAAGGCTTATTTAGAGCAAACAGGTATAGCTGCAACACGAATAATGAGAAAAATTGAGAAGCCATCCGATTTTAAAGTTTATTCAAAAATTTGGCAAGAGAGCTAAAAACGTTAGTGTCCTCGAAACCATACCAAGCTCTGAATAACATTTGTAAAATTAATTCATCAATTTATTCTCCCAAAATCCCCAACAGTACACTCACCCTCTTGGCACCCCTGTCATTGATGAGTCTGCCCGAGTCGGAGGGAGGTAAGTATGGTGCCTCGGTGGTCTTGGGCTGAAAAATAGATTGTACTCATCAATACCTTAAGTAATGTATTCAATTAATATCAAAACTTAATCAAACTTATTAATTCCAAATCATAATTTTGACAAAACTTACACATCTCGATATCAAGGTGGATGCAAAAATACGAGATAGAAAGCAAAAAAATATATCTTAAAAATAACTTTTGAAATTTATGTCACCGGTGCTATAAAATATGAAATTAAAATATCACAGCTTTTAGTTCTCAGCTACTGAATGAAATGAAAACAAACCAACATTTCTCAAAAATAAAGTGAATAACAATTGTGAAGCCATCATTAACGAACAGATAACAGGTGCAGTAAAATGTTTAAAACAGATATAGTAATAGCGTGCGATTTATGTGTCGATTGATAAACCAATGTTCAATAAATACAACAGATATAAACCGACTGAGTACATTCTACATCTACTGTATCATAATCATAGATTCCATGACAACAGGCAAAGGAGCATGTAGTTCTTGTAGTTTATTGAAAGAACTACCTGCTCCGTTCGCCTGCTGTGATTAGATGTATGACTACATTTTACGCAATAACCTGTATACTGTGGGGTATCCAGATGAGGGATAGAGGACCAGATTATTCCACCATTTAAGAAACCATGTCATCAGCTCTACCATAAATCTCTGTATTTGCAGTCTCATTTATCTATACATTCTTGCCGAACCACTTTTTGGGATTCAAGACAACATGATTATTTCACAAAATTTTGCAAGCCATGTCCAATTTACATTATAATGGGCAGACTTTTAAGCTTGCTCCAGAAAAATCCGGACTCTCTAATTTATGATTTCTATTAATAGAAATGGTGACCTTGGCCTTTGGTTTCTTAATGACAAACTCTTCTGAAGTATATCGAATTTGGACGGGATCCATGGGATGTCGCAAGGCAAGACAAGACACGAAGTACATATTGTACGTGGGAAACACAATATAACCCAAATAAAATATCAGGGGGCATAAAAATTACCCAAATACCACATATCACAGTACTGTGAAAGTGTGTATCAACGACACGACGACACTGATAAGTCGTAAGACTTAATGTTAACTCATTCACCCCTGAAATGTCATAATGAACTATTCCAACCTTTGAATTGGAAGGGTTCAAATGTGTCCTCAGGGGTGAATGGGTTAATTAAACTGTGATACTTCTTCAATACAGCAACATTCCAAATACTCAGGACTACTGGATCACCATTTGGGCTACATTTACAGGTTACTTATTTGACACATTCACCCCTCATTACAAAACTTCAGGGGTGAATGTTAAAAAGAACGGATCGTACATATTTGACTGACATACTTGCCACTTTTTTGAAATTTCCAACAATAGTGGAAGGGGTTTCTCCTTGCTCACAATTAAAATCATAGATAAAATGCTTGAATATACCCCTAGGGAAAAAAGCAACACTTCAAAAATGCCATATTTTCAGTTGCTCGTTCAGATGAAATCTTTAGATCGTGGAATATAGGAATATTTTAGCAAATTCACTGGTCTGAAATAACAATCAAAAGGTCCAAAATAGGGAGACTCGCTCCACAATAGCGATAGCTGGCAAGTATGTTTTTATTAAATAAATTTTGGGTAAGTCGCCTCCACCAAGGTGTGATGAAGAATACTAGTAAAATATCAATATCCTTATTCTAGTGCTCACCAAACTACAAATTGTGTGCATTGCAGTGAGGATAATTATAATGCCTATTCATGCAATCTGCTTTCCCGCAGGACCATGTTTAATTAAACACTTAATTTAAAATCTTAAGATAGACTTTTTGAAACGATAAAGGAATTTATAAAAATTAATTCAAAGTAAGTATGCTAAGTAAAAACAATTACATTATGTACACTTGATATACTGTAATGTCACAGGTTTTTATATACATCAAAACAATTTGGTTATGAACAAATTTTCCAATTCATCTAACTGTTGACTCATAGCTGAGCTAACTGCCATTATACAAAGTACAAAATGTGTTTATTGATTAAAATACGAGACATTGTTACTGTAGATTTAAAATCTTTATCATTTTGATGTTAAATTGACAATGGAACTCAACAATTTATCTTATGAGAATTTTTCTTTCGTTTAATCCAAACAACCTTGTTAACTCATTCACCCCTGGAATTTCATAATGAACTATTCTAACCTTTGAATTGGAAGAGTTCAAATGGGTCTTCAGGGGTGAAGGAGTTAATATGAATAAAACTTTGTCTAATTAAAAATTAACAAAACCATGTTTGTCCCCCCACCCACCATGTAATTTCTGTAGTTGTTTAACTCATTCACCCCTAAAGACACATTTGAACTCTTCTTCCAATTCAAAAGTTGGAATAAGTTCATTATAAAATATCAGGGTGAATGAGTTAAGGTATAATCTTAGACAGTTTAAATTTTGCAGCCTGCACAAATTTTACTGAAATTTTTGCTTTTATTTGTGCCTATAAATAAACCTTTCTTTTAACATGTAATAAAGACATTATAAATATACCAACACACAAAGCTATGCATTCAGATGTGCTCAGATATAAATATTTTATAGGCTGCAACCCTGTTTAAATTCATAAGCAAATAATACATTTTAACCTTCTGCTTTGCCTCAGCTGCCAAATCATTATAGCACAGGAATTAGGTACAGATGTATATTGTCATTATATCTGTAAATATGGACCCAAGGAAAAGACCTCATTATTAAACCCATCAAAACTTCCTGTAACATGTACAGTAGATTATAAAACATATTATGAGGGGATTACTTCCTTATTTTAAGATTTGCAACAGTATTATCTCGATATATCATCTCTGTTTCCATCACTTGAAGCACTAATGCTTCAGAACCTGGTTCACTCTGCCATGGACTTGTGGAATCAGGAATATTCAATGTGAGGCAGAATTATATTGACATTATGGGGTCACGTAATTGTTCATGACGTCATAAATAATCAATTTCAAGACCAGTCAGGGTCATTGACATCATGAACAATCACTATCTAGGCTTTGTATGCAATGACGGTACATTGTGGTTATATACCATCGCAAATAATTTTAACTGACCAATCATATGCGGTGTTATAACTCAAATAAATGGTAATGTAACTTTACAGGTAGCTGAAAGAACTTGCTTATAGACAATATCCGTCACTCTAAAAACGGTTAACAGTACAGTAAAGGTTAAATTGACAATATCGATCATTCCAACCGAAGGTGCACAAGCTTACTGTAGGCACGTGACAACGTAAAGACAGAACAAAAAGACAGATCGACACAACAATTACGGTATTATTTGTCTGTGAACCTGCTTCAAGATCTAGCCTGTTAGTTTGAAGGTCATTCATGTGTACTGGGCAGTTTTCGCCCAGTCAAACTTTTGCTCTTTGCCCATGAAACCAATTTTGCCAAGTGTTAATTTCCACATTTCACATTGAATTTCTATGTATATTATGTTGTTTATTTATATTCGCTGTAAAGATAAATTTGCCCGGATTATGGAGGACAAAAAAAATATGAAAATTAATGTGCAGCAAAAAAATCCCCAGCATGCAGTAATGTTGAATGATCTTAATTTGTTCAAAATTGTTTTTCTCTTTTTTACATATTTGCTTTCTTCCAATTACAGTAGATAGCATAAACTCACTACAAGACTGTATGAAGCTATTCTACAGTATCTTTTGAAGCTGTAAATTTTAGCCTGTATAGCAAAGTCTTTCTTAAAGATCCTCGGAATCTGATTTGCCGAATTATCTATATTGCAGGTCACCGTAATGATAATGCTACATCTTAGTGCAGTGGAAACATATATCTCTAGAATTAGATATAAATTTCAAAGATTTACTATCGGCTTCACGAATAAGTCAAAAAAGTTTATCATTGAACTGATTTCTCAAAGCAAGGTAAAAATGTCATGTATAAACTCATAATTTATATACCTAAAGCAACACATTCCATGATGGTTTTATTTTATTTAAAAGAAAGTGTTGTAAGCAGCAGATCAGAACTTGTAAATATCTTGTTTTAATGGATTATAAGAAATACACAACGCCACAAGTCTCTGTAGACAGCAAGAGTACAGGATAGTTTAGAAATATTTGAAATGAATTCGCAAATGCACAGGATTATAAATGGGCGTGTCTTAAGCTCCAGTATCCAAGGCAACGATTATGTGAATGACAGGTGCCACAAGTTATATGTTTTGTGATGAGACAGTATTACGTAAAACAAAGAAATGTTACCCTGATTCGGAATGGTGCCTAAAGGAATAGGTAGAGAAATGAAACATATTTCAATTCAATACCTCACAATGTCAAGTCAAAGATTCTATTTCTCATTCCTCACAATTAGTAATCAGAAAAGGAAATTTCAACAAGAATTGTTAATGTCAGAAAATTCGTGAGAACACAATTTTGCAATTGTTTTTACTTGATTTCAAAAACAAGTGCAGGTCAAGAGAAGTAAAACACAATATATGATTGTAGAAATGACAGAAGAATAAAAGTATACTTTCGGATACATATATAAATATTTCCAAAAAGAAATCCATCAAACTTTTAAATTCAAAAGACAAAATTTCATTGTGACATTTCAGTGAAATAAGATTTTTCAAAAATTCAAGTTGATTAAATTTTCTGACATATAATTATTGTACATGTAGGACTTTTGATCCCAAGAACTTGTCCACTCCTGGACAATCGCTAACAGTAATCACAAAATGAAAAGTAAGAATTAAGAATGTTAGTTAGCTTAAACTATAGATAAAAGGTTGACAAACAATGAGATGGGTTTTTTCTATCATTCAGAGCACATGTTATCTCAATTAGGTATATAACAAATTCTGCCCTTTTTTATTATTATTATTATTTTAAGAGAAAAACTGACAAAACAAATCAACAAAGGTAACAATTATAAATAAAATATTCTAACTTGATAAACTCATTCACCCCTGAAATTTCATAATGAACTATTCCAACCTTTGAGTTGGAAGAGTTCAAATGTGTCTCCAGGGGTGAATGAGTTAAAATCACAACATTGGAAAATTCTAACAGAAAGATGGGGAATCGCACAGCAGGCATTGTGCTAATTTCCTCGTAAAGTAAACAACACAGTAAAGACAGGTGAGAACAGGTAAGATTGTGCTGATGAGGTAAAGAAAAGATGAATTACCGGAGCGCTGGTGGGTGCCTATAATGACGGGTAAGAGAGAAAAAATCTTAGAATTTGTGCAATCGGATGACGTCATACACAGTGTTAAGAGGAACACTGCCATCAAAACACAGAGTTTCATGGACGAACATATGATCAATAAGGCAATGAATGAAAGATCAGTACCAGTATCACAGGCCGGCTGATTTTTAAATCATAGTTCAAATGTACGATCAATAGAAAAAAATAGCCAGTTTCAAAACCCTTTGATCCTTACCTGCAGTTATAACAAAGGAAAGCATCATCAGATTAAAGAACAAATATTAATTTAAGTGAAGTCTCTTTAATTTCAGTCAAATAATGCTTTGCTATGCAAAAACTTCAATTAATGAATTTCTTGTGAAACGATTTCACAAACCGTTAACAGGTAAATGTCTCAAAATCCAAATATTAAAGATTTTAATTCATATAATGATAAGAATGAATTTTTAGGCCATAATAATGGAGAGCCTGTGGAAGAATTTGAAAAACTCTAAAATTATGGATTTTTGAGGCGATATGACACATCTCAACCTTAATACTGTGTTTCACTAATACTAACTCTCCCATTTCTCTTACTCAAGCATTTTCTAAGATCTGAACATCCTCTAATTCCTACCTCTTCATCAACATGCCACACATACCAGAAATTAGGGTCTTATTTAATTGTCTTAGGTTTATAGATCAGTGAAACTAATAGCAACCAATTAGTATTATGACAGAGATCGTTGATGAAATGAATAAAATTTACCATTAATTCACTAAAACGACTAAATGTGAATGATTCAGAAAAGAAAACTGTGGGGCCAAAAGTTAAACATGAGTACTAACGAACATCTGATACATTGTTTACTATGTTATTGTGCATACTAATACATATTTAGTATTCTACCAAAATTAATTTATTTTTCTAATTTCAATAAAAAGGTGAGTTTTTATTAGAAAGCAGAAATACAACATTGATATTTAACCACTTTTATTTGATCGGTTTTTTTATCAATTGGTAAAGTGGAGATTTCGTCTGAACAGCCGAATAAACGTGTCCTCCATTTACGAATTTAAAATCATTAAATGTATCTAATACAGACCACTATTGTTTATAGCCTGAGTCAGCCTAATCTACCGCCCTATCTTAACACAAATTTTACTACAGTTACGGAGAATACTAACCAGGTAAACTTAATTTAACCAAAAAACTTGAATTCTTAATTAATGCTTTAAGGCCATGAAACTCCAGACATTTTGGAGAACAAAATTACGAAACACAAATATTTTGATACTTCAGCAATTATTTTTTTTCCTAAAGAAATTTCTGGGGGGTTCAAATTTGTTCACAACAAATTTTAGAAAGTTTTATTTTGAATATATCTGGCCATGAATGTATCAAAACATTACAAATAAATGCTGTACTGCATAATTATTGGTTCCAGCAAATTTATAATGGAAATATTTTAGCAATCTTTCTCTTTTTTAAAAGTATTTTTTAATTAAGAAATATTTTTGTGATCATTGTCTTCAGAAGATCATGATTTTAAAGTTACTATCTTTTAAATGTATTTATAAATATGTCAATAATTTCAATATGTTTGTACATATAATACATTCAGGCTTTGATCATTTACTAGGTCTTACATGTACCTACAATTTTAAAACACTTTTGACAAGAACAATGAAACTTGTATCTGGGACTAGAGCTAATATCGTAGTGTTCACGAGGGGAGGACGCCACAATTAATACTTACAGCTGTGGTTGCTGTCGGTAAGGGCAGGAACTGTCCCAACTGTAAAGGAAAAAAATCAACACATAAAACAAATTTCTTCTACTCATTTATCTTAACTCATTCGACCCTGAAACCCATTTCAACTCTTCCAATTCAAAGGTTGGAATAGTTCATTATGAAATTTCAGAGGTTAATGAGTTAACTAATTGTTTCAGTGTAATATGCCAATTTAAATACTGTTTTTTTTGGTGTTTTTTTTACTTCATTTGTATTAATCCTAATTGTTAGATACACTCTTTTTAAAAAAAGGTTTCTGTTAATATGAAATTAAAAATGAGCATATTTCTAATTACTGGTGTAAGGTTAACCAAATGGTTTATAGCCAAATCATATTGATAAAAACTTTGAAAAATAAATATGAAATTTGTGACAGATAAATTATCAAATTTTTTAATGGAACCTATAAAGATGACACGACGACACTGATAAGTCGTAAGACTTAAAGTTAACTCATTCACCCCTGAAATATCATAATGAACTATTCCATTCCTTTGAATTGGGAGAGTTCAAATGTGTCTTCAGGGGTGAATGAGTTAATCAAGAACTAGACTACCTAGAACGTGTTTGTATTGATTAGGCAGGATGTTGGTAGCTGGTGATAAATTATATAATTGTGTCTCATCAATAATGTTCTGAAATAATGTTTTGTTAGATAATCTCAGAATCTTTCGCATTTCTATCTTCGATATTGACACATTTTTTTCATCACTTTTGGTATAATGAACATTTTATGCTCTCGTATTAGGTAAACATATAAATAAATCATCGAAAACAAAACTATTACATGTTACTTCAACAAAATGAGGTTAAACTGGTGTATTTTCATGGAAGGAACTGAATCGTTATTTTACATTTAATTGAACAAAATTATAATTCAACAAATAATACCAGTTTGCTTACGTAACTCTGTAATGGTGCTGTTGTGCAAATAAATAAAACCTTCCCAATGATTAAGTCGTCCTATGAACGCATTCAATTCCGTAACTAGGTTGTCTCCCTTCAATTCATAATATCGGTGTGACATGCAGCATGGCAACCTCGTTAGTAACGTGTGGAATGAACCTACTAATTATGTCTCATATTTATATATCAAATTGTGTTCATGTTACTTTTAGACATCAACCTATCCTGTTTATTGCAATTAATTTTCCAGTTAGACTTACACAAGTCCTGTTCTGTGGTAATGTATTTTTTAGTTAGACTTACGCAAGTCCTGTTTCTGTGGTAATGTATTTTTTGGTTAGACTTACACAAGTCCTGTTCTGTGGTAATGCTTTTTCTACTTATACTTATTCAAGTCATTAATTATTTTGAGGCTGATTATTTTTATAATTAGACTTACACAAGTCCAGTTATGCTTTAATTTCCTTTCTTGTTAGACATGCACAGGGTTTGATATGTGGTAAATTATGTTCCAGTGATGACATGGTTATTCCTTTTCTAGTTAGACTTGCTTAAGTCCAGTTATGTGACAATTCTTTTACAATGAGATATGCACAAGATCTGTTACAGTCATTTAACCTCTTTAGTTTAACTTACACAAGTCATTTATTTGGTATTTCTCTTTCTCATATACGTATATAGATATAAAAAAAAAGTGGAGTGTGGATTTTGATATGTTTTGAAACTCGACATAATTTGTACATTTTTAATGACACACAATCTTTAATAAAATGAGAAAGATCTATACTTCTGTAGTTTGCTTGACAATGTATTTTGCGACTGATAAAACATTAAAAATTTAACAAAAAACATAAGTTATTAATATGCTAAGTTCAAGAAATTAAAAAAAAGAACTACATGTATTTTGATAAAAAAAAAAAAGATAATTTTTTTTTGCATAATTTCCCTTTTACTTTTTTTAAAGACAACTTTAGTTAACATAGCAACTTAAAAGTCAGAAGAATGCTCAATAAATTGCAACTCTTCTTCATTGGAGATATACATGTAGTGTTGAAACTGTCTACCTTAAAGGTAAAATTGTTCCTGCATACTTTATATAATTGTCCAACAAAGAGGTTTGGCATCCAAATTAAGTGAAATCTAATAAGAGTTTATCGGTGAACTTTAAATCTTTGAGTAGTGAAGCAGACACTACAGACTCAACCTCCTCAAACTTAAAACATTCCCAAATCAAGAAAGAGACGCAGACATGGAAACAGAAGAAAAAGCGAGGCTCAAGCATATTTAGACGTCCATGTGCATCACGATCTTAGTGCAATCTAACAATGTAGCGAAGCCAAATGATAAACAAACAAAAAAAGAAGTTGTGTTCAAGGGGACAGTGCTGCTGCAAAAGTGGGTATAGCAGATCCTAAAACTAATCTACACACTGCTGGTGATGAAACTGTAAACTCAAAACGTAAGTCATCAACAAATATAGAAAACAGAAAGCTATCAACACGAAATGAAACTTGACAATATGAAATTGTACATCATCGTGTTTATTAAAACCAATTGAAATTGATGTACGATTTAAAAGAAAATATCCTGATATGCAATTCAATTACTGTAAAAATAAGTAAAGCAAACACCAGGGGACCTTCATATTCAAAGTATGGTATACCTAGTCATAGTTATTTTTTAGACTTTTATCGTTCATTTGAGAGTTTCTTGTATGAGGACAAATTGATATTGGCAATAAGCATGGTATTTTTTATTAAATTTTATTGTATATATTTATTGAAACCCAAATTAATTTTGAAAAGCAATCTTCAGAAAAATGTCAAGTAGGAGAGAAGTTTTACAGATTATAAACTTTTGGTCGAGACTGAAATTAGTTGACATTAACGTGTGAATTTCCCCCCACCGATGGTGCAGATATGACAACACCTTGTGCTTTGAGATGTTAATGAATTGTGAGACCTGAACCACATGACAACCTCCTTCCCATCACCAAAACGGAAAATATACGGATCCTGACAACCAACTGTCCAACCAAATTTGGAATTAACTTGTTCACCCTGAAATTTCATAATGAACTATTCCAACCTTTGAATTGGAAGAGTTCAAATGTGTCTTAAGGGGTGAATGAAATAATACATACTTCTTTTTACAAATCCTTAAGCATAAACCAAATGTTTTAATTATTATTTCTTTTACAGAATTTTTGGCAGCCCCATTTCTAGAAGCAATTGGTAAAAGATAACATAAAAAGACTTTCTTCTTATGTGACAAAGCTTAGCAGAGAAACATGAATACAATCCTATTGATCTGAATTGTTTGCTAAAACAGGGTTTGCAGAGGTCGAATAATACCTATCATATATTATAAAGAACTAAGATATTTAATGTTGAGATGGAGCTTCCGTTTATCCTGATTCGGGAGATAGAGTTTCAGATAAAAGCCTAACCTGACCATATTGCCAGACACATTTATTTTACTAAGGAACTCCATTAGATTTCAGTTGATTTTTCCTGTTTTATTTGTCCTGTATAAAAGGATCTATGTGTCTGAATAAGGTCACCGGGTGTCTGAGGGAACATTTGCCTTATTATAGTTTTCTGTTATTCTGAGAAATCAAATGGGAAAGGAACGATGACTTATGATACTGTTGATGTACCGAACATTTTGTCTCATAAAAGCCCCATCCCTCCTTTTTCCCTGGCTTTGATCAGAATTATTATACCCTTTCTGGATTTCAGAATGTTTCTGGATAAAGAATATTTCACCTAATTGTAAATCACATATATATGCCTTCCAACCAATTCCCCGGTTCTTGAAAGTAAAGTTCCTTATATCTTCAAATCTTAAGCTGCCATTTTTTAATCTACAAATTCTCCAATTCTCCAATTTCTATTTTCAAAGACTTAATCCTTGCAGTAACAGTTAAACTGCTCTGATGTTTAAAAAGGAATGTGACTACTATTTCGCAGCCAAAATACATGTGACTTACATGAATATTCACTGACACAGTGGTAGATCATGAGACCAATTTAAATTGGTTGTTTCCAATTGGGAAAATAAATAATGTTAAAAGACAACTTCTTGGTTTCAGGGTTTCCTGACGCCCAGAAAACCCCTCTCTAAAACCAACATTACTGATACACCGATATTTCAACAGCAATAAGGTTTGTCTCTTATTCATTTCTGTGTTTTAGCAGTCCATGCTCACTAATAAGCCCGCCCTTAATTTTAACTCATTTATCCCTGAAGAGAAATTTGAACTCTTCCAATTCAAAGGTTGGAATGGTTCATTTTGAAATTTCAGGGGTGAATGTCAGTTAACCAATTGCACAATTGAGGGCTTTATCTAGTAAAACTTCATTCAGGATTAGCTTTCGATTGTGAACAAAAGAAGAATTTTGACGAAGACAAGCAAGCTTGTGTCTCTGAAATATCAGCACATTATACATGAACCTAAAGGTTAATACATAAACAAGTGAAAGCATTCAATACAAGCAGAACTGAAGGGGTGATAAGTAGGTAGCATCCTGCCGAAGAGAGAATTAAAATATTGAAATAAAGTAATGACTCTTTCAACCCTGTGCCACATTGGTTTGACCCTAGACAAAGGAAGGTCGATGCCATTGTGGACAGACGGGGAGAACAGGGTCTGTATGAACTGCACCACTCACCTCCACCACCTCGCTCTATCCGAACCAGAGAAAGAAATTATCACTTGTTATTTTAAGGTAAAAGTTAAAACATTAAAAAAAAGTTAAATTAACCGGACTGGACCATCAACTTGTCAAAATTGCAGTAAAAGAGGAGTATTATTTCACTACTGTATTATTATTATCAACGGCCCATCAACATAGGATAGGTCATTAGGGCAGAAAAATGGTCGATTCACTACTGTAACTATATTTCTATGGAATATAACCTGGACAACGATGAAATTTCATTATTTTAAACAAAGTGAAAAGATAGTTTTGTCATTAGAAAAGAAACTCTGCAATTAACTGGCAAATGAATTTCGCCAAGTTTCCAAAACTAACAACAAGGCTGATCAACCTTATAACTGGGTAAAGAGCAAGGCTAAAGGGAGATAATACCAGACAGGAGCCTAAACTAAATGTGACAACGATATATATATGGTCTCTGGTCAAAATCAGGCACCTGTTCAGAATGAATTTTGTCCTCATTTGTTATACATGTAGGAATTTACACTCAATATATAGAGACATTAATTTCATACAAAATGACTTGATGTGAAGCATAATATCCATAAATGTATGACAAAAACAGAAATAGACTGCAAAAAACTCATTTACCCCTGAAGATACATTTGAACTCACCCAATTGAAAGGTTGGAATAGTTCAATCTGAAATTTCAGGGGTGAATAATTCAAATAACAGTTATCGACAACCGCTGAGCAAAATGTTAACAGGATATCAAGAACAATGGAATTCTGATAGAAGAACAATTATTCTGAAGTAAGTAGAACAGAAAAAGTGGCAGAATGATGTAAAGTATAAATAAATATATAACATTTATATATAATATTAAGGCTACATGACATGTGAAGATACAGATTTCACACATACAATAAAATTCACATGAACACAGCACAATCTTCACAGTATATACACACAAGATCGTCTGTACAAGGCCTAACTTTATTCTGTCAAATTGCAGTGCTATATTATATCTAAAACCTCTCCTGCAGACCATATAAACATTTATAATTAAACTAGCTACACTTAAGATCAATTTAATTCTAAACTTAAATGATTCCATATCAAGGAACAATTATAAGTGACTCTTTTGCATCATTTGAAAAGGTTCTGTTTTCATACTTAATCCAACAAGTATCAAATGCGGGCAAGACCATTTTAAAGATTTTAAACTGAGAAACAAAATGAAATGATCTTTTTATTCTGATTTCATTTTTTTATTTTATTTTATTTTATTTTATTTTAAGAATAATAGTGAACATTAAAAAAATAATATCATTATGGTGATGTTTTCCCCCCATGAAAATCAAATGCAAATAAAATGACTTTCACACCACTCTTTACATCAATGTACAAGTACATACAAGGTATACTATAACTATTAAACCAGAAAACATGTAATTACATTTAAATATACACATATAATAATGCGTGAGTACAGAATACCTTCATGCTAGTTACTCAAGCTTGGTTAATGAAGTAATGCCACAAAACGTCTTTTAATCGGAAACTTCAGCCTGTGAACATTTAACTAACTCACAGACTGCAAACTTAAAGCAAATGCTTTTGTGTATAATGCAGAATCAAAATTAATATCAGATTTGCGTGAACGGTTACAACAATTTGAAAAAGAAAAAAATGTGAGTTAGACAGATATAACTTTCTCAATAAAGACTAAATTTGATAACATCTGATTCTTAATCAACTATCTGAGGAGGTGTGACGGAAGTTTGATATAAAGCTATACTGGAGAGAGTTATAATTTTACACCAAACATACGCAAAAAAAAATAAAAAAAATAAAAAAAAATTAACGATATATTTGTTATTAAAGATTTATCAATGGAAATTCAAAATTTAAAAATAGGAATACACAGGGAGTTTTTCTAATTATTACATTTAATTACCTAGCTGATTGTGTTACTTACTAGGACTCAGTGTAATATATATAGCAATGGCTTTACAACGAAAACGGAAAAGGAAAAGTCCACGTATAAAACTAAAATCAATCATTTGTAATACAATGAATCTGCAAAACCAACAGGACTGCACATTTCAGGCAATGTAACACTCCGTTCCGAACCATATTGTAACTCGAATTCAACACTGGTGAAACTCGTGTTTCATGTCGTTGTAGCTGTGTACACCAATATAAAGCTATTCATATTTTGTTTCAAGAGATCTGTAGATGAATAACTGTTTCAATAATGTAAGAAATTTACACAAGATATTCTCTTCAATATTAGTCATCTTTTTTTTTCATCTTCATAAAATATGAATATCCTTTTAATCTAACCTTTTTCTTTAATCTTAATCAAATATGATAAAATTTTAAATCTAACCTTTTTCTTTGATCTTAATAAGATATGATCAATTTTTATTAAATTTAATGTAACTTTTTATTTGTATCTGAAGAAATGCATGCTATGATATCCGATCCAATGTCAGTGCTAAGATATTCAACACACTTTAATTTACTTTAGGAAGCTGAGCTAAAATATTTGATGTAATATTAATGTTACCAAAATTGTATTTCATGATACTGTTCCAAGACTTTTCATTCACTTATCATCTATTTAAGATTATTAGAATCGTTCATGCTCTTGATTGGGAGAGAGAGATGGCGAATCTCAGCCAAAGGGTAAAGGTTCCTCAATTGACAAAAATAAGGCTAGCAGAGTGTTTGGCAACTAATAATCTCTCCCCGAGGGTTGAGTTTCTCTGATCTTACTCCCAAGGGGATGATTGATTTTTTTTTCTCTTAGTTATTAACCCTTTCACCACTGTAGACCATAATGGAATCACCCAGATCAATGCATGGTAGAGTCTACGTAAGTTACATATATATATATATAGGGTTGAAAGGGTGAAGATGGCCCTTTCATAAATGCAATGTTGACATAATATCATACAACCGTCGTGATTGGGAAATCCCCTCGACTCAACCCTATGGTGAGACAAGGATATAATGCTTCAGGAAAAATGTAGATACAACCTTCTAGTGTAAGTGAATGCTTTGCCTCCATGAAACTGTTATTTTCTTATATCAATTTGACCCACAATATTGGTGACAATCACAGTGAGATGTTTGCCACGTCTACCTACTGTCAGGTAAGAGTACGTACCTGTATCAACCTGAAGCCATTATTAACACGGATGTAAACTTTCTCCTCGTTGTTGATGTAGACAAAAGTCCCTGGAGGTAAGCTATGGGCAACAGTCATTAGTTCACTGGCGGCGTTGAATACAACAGCTCCCTGTAAAATAAAGACATTATTTAATTTATTATTATAAATGTTCTTCCACTTTCTTAAACGAATTATTTTTATATAAATTATGAACTTTATCAAGGAATTAACTCATTCACCCCTGAAGACACATTTGAACTCTTCCAATTCAAAGGGGTGAACAAGTTAAGAAACAGGCAAGTTACTGACCTAAATCTGTCTTTACGTATACATTTTACGATTAGATAAACCCACAACAAATTATTTTCCTGGTAACAACAATCATTAGGTACTTCTGTATCGCTATGCATGTAGTTTGAGTTTTGAATTTCAATAGTTTTGAAAACTTACAAGTTGAAACATTTGCATTTCATTATTTAAATTAAACTAATTTGACTTTAAACGACATGACCCTAATCCCAGTTATTCAAAGCTGTAAACTGCTCAACTACAACTTGAGGCAAAGCTTCTGTCTAGAACATGTTAAAAATCATTGAAATTCCAAATTAAAATTCTTTATTGTCATTAAACTATAATCACCTTAAGAAAGTAACATGAAATTACATTTACGAACATTTAATAACAGGCTGGATTTGTTATGAATCTGGGTACATGCAAGATTTGCTATAAACCTGTGGGTATATATCAGATTTGTCTAAACTTTTATAATATCTGGGAAAGAAACTGTGGACAGGCAACAGACAGACAGATGGCCAGACACTTAATTGATTACTACAGGGCATCCGCATCTCCAATGCCAGGACCTCAAAAATATTCATTCCGAGATATTGAACATACCGATGACCCTCCTGACAAATTGGCTGGTCCACCATTGGTCCCTGGAGTCCCAGGGATTCCTGGTCGGCCCTGTGGTCCGGGTGGTCCAGCAGGTCCTCTGGCTCCCTCAAACGTGGACTCCCCATATCCTCCAATGCTCACCGGTCCTGGGGGTCCACGGGGTCCTACTCGTCCCTCTCGTCCTGCTTCTCCCTTTTCTCCCTGGTAATGAAAACATCACAATTATCAGAGATTTTTTTTCTCTGCCTCTCCAGTACCCAAACAGAAACAAAATGAGTTGGGGCTCACATTAGATATAACCTGGACCGCTCAATTACTATTGGCACAAAGATAGTTACTTCAAGTGTTACCTTTGACATTTCATTGACGACCACTTAAGTCTGATTGTGTAGAACTTGACATATTATAATATGACGTAAATAAAACAAAACCTATTGAAGGGTTCATGAGATATTGTGTACTAAAGCTTCTCGCTTCAAAAGTGGTCGAGTGTGGCCTTTGACCTTTTTGCATTGACCTGTGATCACATGAAATCTAATGCAGAGCCTTACTTTTGTTCCATCATCACCATCTCTGCCTCTAACTCCCGGTCGGCCATTATTACCGTCACGTCCTGAACTCCCTGTAAAGTGGATTACAGAGTTTGACAACACACCAATCACTTATAGGAGAAATGTTTTTCCAAACATTTAAAATGAAATGATCATGAGGTTCATTCTAATATACTTTATTCTTCTGCTGTCAATGTCTTCCTCAATTGTGAATAGTTTATAACTATTGCTGCATATAGGGTAAATTTAATTGAAACCACTGTGTCGAAGAACAGAACTGAATGTCTGTTTGTGTTTTACGTTCTATTAACAGCTATGGTCATTAAGTATGAGCCAGGTTTTGGGGTTGAGGAAAACTGGACTACCCGGAGAAAAAACATTGACCTTAAGCCAGTACCTGGTGAATGCTCCAGGTAGCCTCTAGCCCAAGGTGGAGTGCTTGTCATCATTGCCGGTCAGACACCTTAACCATTCGGCCATCGCTCCACAAAATTTAAACTACTACACAGTACTTAATGACTTATTACGCTTTTGTTCCATACACTTCAAAAGTGGTATCGTTTTGTTTATAACCTACAAGTATATAATGTTACCAAATCCACCTACCTGGGACACCTGGGAGTCCTCTCTCACCTGGCTCACCCTAAAAATAGAAGTCACATGATTTACATATGTAGTACTAACCTAGCCTAAACTATAAATAGAAGTCACATGATTTACTTCTTTAGTACTAAAATAGTCTATTACCTATAAACAGAAGTCACATGATTTAGTGCTCAGCTCACCCTTGGCTTTAAATAGAAGTCACATGATATAGTATTTGACCTAACCTATAAATAGAAGTCACATTGTGTTTTAATTGGCACATCTTATAAATACTATGAGGAAATCACATGATTTAGTGCTCGGCTCACCCTTGGCTTTAAATAGAAGTCACATGATATAGTATTTGACCTTACCTATAAATAGAAGTCACATGATTTTGTAATTGGCATATCCTATAATTAAATGCAATGATAAAGTCACATGATTTAGAGCTTGGCTACACCTATATATAGAACTATCCTGATAAAATGAATATTTTTCACAGCAAATTCATGATGGGCAAGACTTTACATATATAGAGATTACATTGCATACAGAAAATATCACTGGGTGAATTCAACAGTAGATGAAAGGCCAGAGGGTGAAAATTTTACCAAACAAAATTACTATAATTTCAATTAGCAAGTGGCTATCCCTGTCAATAGAAACAAAACATATTCAAATAGAAGTCACATAAGTAAATACCTGCTTCATCCTACAAATAGAATGATTGTGATTTAATATATTTCTCAGAAGTATATGTCACAGAAATGCAGGCTGTCTTGTAGACCTATACATTCAAGTCTCCCTTGCAGTATTTCTATGATTAGACCAGGAATTGCTGTATAAATTCTTACTGCATTCAATATTGCTTCATCTAATCTGTGACTTTCCACTTATCAACTATATATACTACAATACAAACGTACTCCATTTAATCCACAATGCCCTGCTAAATCGGCTGGCCGGGCCATTCAGAACTTTCACACCTAATGCTGCTTATTGCCCTGGTCTGTAATTTAAGTGGCTGGCGTGTGACTTCAGACCTCTCAGTGACCAAGGTTAGTGTGAATCCATGTAGCTATTGTTTATTACCTAAGATTGACAAAATTTCTTTTCTTTTCGTGACACCGATTGAAATTTGTGAGAAATGTGTCTCGATCCCGCCTTGAGGATTTTTTCTGAAGCAGTTTTCGTGAGTCTCACGCCAAAATCATTAGATATGGCATATACGCCACATGTACACTGATAACAATAAATAGACATAAATCTTCTTACCCTTAACACAGGTTTATTTCACCTTTGACCCTGAAGATCTTCCATGTATATACAACACCATCCACTCTCACCTTTGACCCTTTTAACCTTTTACATAACTCCATGTTTGACCCTTTAAGGCTTTCCCAAAAAACCTGGGACCTTTGCGACCTTCACCCCTGTCTGATCTATTCTTTGACTCTGGTGATCTTTATTGCTACCAAAATTTACCTTCGTGCCTGAACTGATTGCTCCTCCAATTACACCTAAACCTTGTACTCCTGGTTCTCCCTTGGGTCCGCGAAGTCCATAGCCACGTTCACCTTTCCTGCCTCTCCATCCCCGACGACCCTGTATACAACCAAGTTCATAAACAGTCATTATGTGGACAATGATTGATTAGGTCTATTATTAGACTTCTCTTGGGTAGATCTTTTTGTCAGCAATTGTCAAACAACATTATTTAACTTGCATCAGATTTATTTTTTCTAATATAATTCTCTGATTATTTTCTTCATCACACTCAAATTTTAGTGTTTTATCAAATTTGAAAAAGTTTATTGCATTGATGAACCATAATAAAATATATTAATCAAATCTCAAAGTGTGATAAAACATGCTGACTGTTAAAATATGAACGCTTAGAGTAGTTAGTTTAATCTTTAAGCATTACTAAAAGTATAAAAGTTTGTCAAATTGATCCGAGGAATGTTCATTTTTTCCCCCATACAATAGTTTCCATCTTAAATATTATACAAGAAAAATACTTGAATAAAATGTGATTGATTGTTGTAGACGTAAACATTTCTTACCATAAGTCCAGGCATGCCAATAGCTCCCTTGGACCCTCTGAAACCTCGCGGGCCAATGGGCCCAGGTTGACCTGGCTCCCCGGGAGCCCCATCTCGTCCTGGGGTACCTGCCTCTCCCATCTCTCCCTGTGACAAAAGGTCAAAGGTCAACTGTAATGTATATTCACCTTTTGTAAACAATAGCTCATGGAGTGTATGAATATTGCCATTCACTTTCTGTGACGTCACAATTTAGGAAGTGTTAATCTGCACAAGGCTATCTCCCCCTGTCATGCTGATCTTTCCTGGCTAAAATAGGAGACACACCTGTGAAGGTTGAGAGAATCATATCTCTGTAACACTCACCTTCTCACCGCCCAAGATCAGTGCCTCTCCATCTCCACCAGATCCTCTGGGGCCTGGAGGCCCAGGCGGACCACTGGCCCCAGTGGGTCCAGCAGGTCCTGAGGGTCCTTCGCTGCCTGGAAGTCCTGGCATGCCTACGCTCCCTGGTTCTCCTGGAGTTCCTGTGGCACCATCCCTCCCGTCATTACCAGCAGGGCCCATTTCTCCCTTGGGACCCTGCATTAACAACACAATTTTATATACATGTTGACATATTGATGTTGAATGAACCCTTTCACCACTGTAGACCATAATGGATTCATCCATATCAATGCATGGAAGAGTCTACTTAAGTTACATAGGGGTAAAAGGGTTAAGACTGTTATAGGTTTTACAACTGAGAAGATAAATGTACAATGCAATCATTTCCAAATCAGCTTTTTTATCATGTACGTCATCTTCTTCCTAAGGAATCAATGATTTTGGTTTTAAACAAACTAATAAATGAACAACAAAAGTTCTTTCTAGTAGCTGAAGTCTGATATTAGGATGTTATGTGAAGAACGATCAGAATATGTAAGCAGTTTAAAGTAGTGGTGTCCATAAACTGTTTCAACTGTTTGTTCCCCGACCCCTAAATTTAAGGTAATTTTGTGCCTGGAACATTTTTCAAGAGTTGTGTCCCTTGAGTAATTTTTGGAAAACCTCTCCACTGAACCACAAGGAGTTGTACCACTTACCATTTGTCCTGGGAAGCCAGGTTCACCTAAAGGACCGGCAGGTCCCGGGGGTCCAACAGGGCCCATCTTGCCTGGGAGGCCATCCATACCTCTTGGACCAACAATACCAGTCTCTCCCCTCTCCCCCTGGTAAATAAACAGTTGATCAAAAGGTGTAAAGGATCCATGGAGCCACAACATCTGCTGTTTCTATCTTGTTTGCATTACCATATTATTATATTTACATTTCTACTGCAGGCACCTCTATAAGCATTTTCAATATAAATTGCATTCATAAGGCTATGAGTGCAATTGGATCAGCTACATTCAAATACATAGTGGTACTCATCACCAATAAATTGCTGATCACAAAGTAAACGGATACGTTTATCCCTAGAAATGTATCCCCACCTTCCAACTTCAACAGGATGTCAGTGATTACATGTTCAGTAACTTATGAGAGTGTTTCTGAAATTTTTCGGTAAACTAAATAGATTTGTTTTTAAAGAGTTGGTGAAGTTATACGGGTCTTTTTATCATGTTCACATTGTTCACCTTAGGACCAGCTATTCCTCCTTCAAAGTCAATAGTACCCATCTCCCCAGATCCGACCCCTTCCACTGTGACAGCGGGCCCAGGGGGTCCGGGGGGTCCAGGTGGTCCGGGGGTTCCATTCTGACCGTTTATTCCAGACGGTCCCATAGGTCCAGGTGTACCTACACCAGGAGCACCTGTAGCACCCTAAAATAAGATAAGGTGATAACGTCAAAAAATGTCAATGCAAAACACTGTTTGATCCAGTTATGTATGGTATCTATGGACTTATAGGATGGTATATGATAATTAATTTGTTCTTAGCACATGGCAGCTGATGCTTAGTTTAGTTTAAACAATACTTTATTCCATTATCAAATACGTTTATTACATCCAAAGTATTTCATAGTGATCGGAAGCTTAGACCATATATTAATTTCTCAGCATAAAATAGACGATACCTTCTTTCTGATCGTATATGGAAATATCTTTCATTTTACCAATTCAATTCTGTTCAATAAAACTAACTTTTTATTCAAAAATTATCCGAGATATAATTAATCATTTTTTGTGTTGAAAACATCTGAACTTCACATTCATTATAATGTCTCCATACTGAGCACCAACTACTGTATTACATTAATTAAAAACATAATTTGAAAATAAAATTGATTAAACTTTGTATTTAAGAAGTTTAACTCCATGAAAAGAAAATTGAGAAAAATAAAAATAAATAAAAATAAAATTTATTCAAATAAATACAGCTTGAACTGGAACTTCAAAATCAAAAACATTTTGAATTCAAGACAGTTAACTACTTCTGAATTCAAATAAATTTCATAGAGTTCCAAACATTCCATGACAAAATGGTCTGAGAGCAATATTAATATGATGTATTAAAAAGTTTTTCTATTATTCAAATTAATATTTTCATATAGATGTAGCACTGTAATGTGAATTTTAAAGGCCAAAACAAATAAAATAAACATGAACACATCCTATTTAAAGAATGTATTTAAATATCAATGACACAAAAATGGTATTTCATGTTAAACAGAAATATAAGATTTTCAGATTTAAAAGGAAGAACTTTGATTCAGATATTACCTTCATTCCTGGGGTTCCGTCTGAGCCAGGAATGCCGGGAGTTCCTGGAAGTCCAGCAGTACCTGCCCTACCCTGTGGCCCGGGGTTACCTGGCTCTCCATCCCTACCATCAGCTCCCTGTAAACAATGTATTAAACATTGAAAATATCCATCCAGTCACAAAACCATATATAGGCAATAGTTCTGAAGACAGTTATAACAAATGAACATTATCTTTTACAATAAACCAATAACTATTCTTAACCTAAATATACTAAAATTCCTTTCATTGTAAAAAATCACACTTTGGAAGACTGGTAATTGTTGAAAAATATAAGTAATTTTTAATTTTTTGTTATGTTTATATTTCTGATTTCTACTGCCGTTTATTAGGAGGGAGGAGGGTTTAAGGGTTGACGATGGATTTTGAGAATTCCTCTTCAGTAAAACAAAGTCATTTGCCTGTGAACATACATATATCACTTTTTGTCTGCTTCATCGTAAAGGGGACGTTAAACCACTCAAATAAAACAAGAACCTAAAAACATGCATATCATAATATTACACAACCCCTCAACATTATAAATAATGATCATTTAGAGACATTTAAATTACATCCAATAAAATTAGTGAAGTTGTAAATAAACATGTATTTATATTTCTACTTAATTGATTATTCAACACAAACACAAATCTATAAAATATAAAATATTTATAAACTGGACAAGAAACTTGTACAACTGACTAAGTTCTCTCAAAATAACAAGAGTTGCTTCCCCTGATACACTTTTTTGGACAAAGTCAAAGGTTTGATGAAGTTAAGGCAACCAAAGCAGATCTTACAGTAATTAAAAAAATTCTTAGGAGCACAGCTGCATTTAAAAAGAATGGCAATGGCTAACCTGATCGCCCTTCAGCCCCATTTCTCCATTTCTGCCCGCTACTCCTGCAATCCCTCGGTTCCCAGGAGGACCTTGGGCCCCATCAACACCAGGCAGTCCCGGAACTCCACCAGGCCCAGTGGGTCCAGCAGGTCCCATGGGGCCGACAACTCCCTCACATTCACAGCTACCACCACCAGACCCCTTGAAGAGAAAATAACACAATTTATCACATGCCCGTTGAATCTTGTTATAGTAATACAAGTAATTTTCAGAACATGAAATAAAACGTTCTGTATTGCACATGTGCAATATGGAATGTTGTATTTACCTACTAGCCGGAAATCCCCTTGTCATGGGGGAACTGAAAAGTTTCGGGTATTTGCAAAAGCAGAAAATATCAAAGTTAATAAAATCTTTGTATCAATCTCTACCAAATACCAAGTATGTGATAAAAGCAAGACCACACACTTGTGTTTTTCTAACAAATCAGAAAGCACTCATTTATTGTGCGGATGTATGTATTCGTCCGCGCAATAAACTCATGCTTTCTGATTTGTTAGAAAAACACAAGTATGTGGTCTTGCATATATATTGTGATAATCGACATCATAATGATAGCACCTGTTGATCAATTTTTAATATCATGTTGACACTAAACCTGTTCCCCTTTCGTGTCTCTCATGGTTCAACCAACCAAAACGGTTAGACCTGAAAGAAACGACAGGCGCAGATCTGAACCGAGGCGAATATTCGGCACATGTAGATTGAGGGGTCCAGAGATGCCTGACCGAAACTGAAAAGCTGACTATTGCTAGTTTGCGTTATTTCTTTCTAAAACAATGTCAATCCACATGAAGAATGAGGGGTCCAGACATGTCTGACCGAAACTAAAATGCTGCAACTATTGCTAGTTTGGGTTATTTCTTTCTAAAACAATGTCAATCCACATGTAGATTTTAAGTAAGTTATATTTTTCAGTGAATGATTGAAAGAAGAACATACTATTTATTGTATGTTGTGTACTTGTATTTGCTATCTGGATAAATTCTCCCTTTTTAAATGGCAATATATCACAGGTGACAAAGATTTCCCAGTAAACAGTATTACTTATCAAAACAAATAATCGTAATTCCAGATAACACAGTAAATGAAAACATTTTCATATATTTTTAGTTGTTTTTTTTACTATCCCAGGAAATTTCTTTTTTATGAATATCAGAATTCTTATAGATAATATTTCCCAAGAAATTAAATCAAACCATTAGAAAGTGTTCTCTAATTAATTAAAAAGCCTCCAATTTTTCTAAGAAATCGGCACTGATATTTATGAATGTTTTCTACTTACAACAA